ACAATTTCATGGACCCGGGGCTCTACTCGACAGACCCATTCGGCTGACTACGTCACCTCCGCCCCCGCCAAGTTTGCCATTGCTTCTTCCACCTCCTCCTCCACCACCACCACCACCACCGGTGATTCTTCACCCACAGTTTATGCCCTCGGTACGCAGCCCCTCGATCTCAGCCCATCGCGGACAATCCTGCCCTACCTCTTCGAAATCGCAGCGCGCACGCCGCTCGATCTACAGCAGTGACCCCTCCCGTGATGAAGAACCACGCAGTCCAGGGCGCTCGTCCAAACGATCTCGGACAGCATCAGCTTCAGCGCCGCGGCGATCTCGACGGCCCTTTACAGTGTTTTATTCCAAACGTGCTGGCCGTCCATCGCAATCCCCCTCGGCGGCATGCAAGCATTACTGTCACGCCATCCTGCGCCATGGACGGAAATGTCTTTCCCCTTGTGCTCGTAGAAGGCCAGGTCACTATCATTGCAGATGTGCGCGACATCAACGACAGTGAAAGCTAGGAGTCTGACATTTCCGACCTCGTTGCTGCGTTTCACCTTGTGTTTGAAAAGTTGCCTCGCTCTTCAGCGGATATGTGCGGTTGGCAATGCATGTGTGTCCTTGCCGCAGACTTTCGATTGGTTCAACAGTCGTGCAAGCCCGTATTGCTGCTATGAACCCCCAGTATTTCGAGTACCAGATCGATAGAGGAGTTGAATGGATTCGAATTTACTCTCCGGGCATTTGGAGGCCCGTTCCTGATGAGGCGCCAGTTCCTGACCCACTGTACGCTTCCACGTATCGGGAGTGGCGCAGATCATATCACTTCCAAGTGTACTGGTCTGAAGACAGCACCGGTGGAACCACAATGGATCCTATAGCCACGCCCAGTTCCTATGTGTCCTACCACGTGTGGGAGTACCGAGACTGGCAAACACGAGGTTACCAACGACTTGGACCTCCTGCACAATCCATCGGATTCGCGATGCTCGTCAATGCAGACGTCGAGTCCTCGGGGGGCTCGTCGGTACCGGATGGGGCGTGGCGGGAACCGTCACCGCCGCCATTCCATGATCCTTGGAATGAGTCGGATTGACTCTTGAGTAGCATGTTGGACAAAGATGCGGTTGTGCTTGCTTTGTATGTGTGCTCACATTGGGTTGTCTTGCTTGGTGCTGTGCATGTCGTCTCAGTGTGTCCGCCGCTTTCCGTGATAACTTTGAGCAGCTTGTTGGGTTGAAATGTTCAATAGTACAGTGCAGGGTGCAGCACGATGGGTCCTACCTCGTTATTTTGACTATGACATCGTTAATGGTCGAGCAGGAACGAGTGTGGAATGGATTCGAATCTATGTTCCGGGTCAGTGGCATCCAGTAGCCCCAGATACCCTGGGACCGGCCCCGGATGACTCGACCACCTATCGGGAATGGCGCAAGGTCCACCACTTCGAAGTGTACTGGCCCAGGGAAAGCACGGGCGGCACAACCACAGGTACGGTTCTGCAACCGGTATCTTACGCCACCTTCTACACTTGGTATTACAGGGACTGGGTCACCAGGGGGTACCAACGCCTGGGTCGTCCACATCCCAGCATAGCGAGGCCAGTTTTCGCTTCGGGTGCACCGGACCTCATGTATGCTGGAATGACCTCCTCCTCGGCATCATCTAATTCACATGATAGCTGATGCCCGTCCTCGCCTTCCTGGAGAGTCAGACTTTGATGCTGGCGCCGCACAGTGTTACAAAAGTGGTCTTTTGCATTATGATTGTTGACTTGCTTGCACTCGTTGTTGTCTGCAGCCGTACACCTATCAACTTGTCTTTCCGTTGTTGTGTTGTCATGGCGTGGCTGGAATGGTGCCCGGACCCTCAACAACCAGATGCCCAGTGGGTCAAGATCTTTCATCCGGGACCATGGACGCCGCAAGAAGAACATGATGATCCACCTCCTCCGCATACTTTTAGAGAATGGAGGGAGTTCTATGCACCCAACCAGGCCTCAGTCGGAGAGCAGGTCCAAGTCACTATGTGGTACAAACGAGACTGGGCCACAGAGGGCTATCGAAGAATCGCAGCCCCTCACGCTGGTCATGAATTTGATTCAGGGTATCCCTCCGATCATCACAGCGTGGCCACGCAGTCTGCGGCATTGAGTATGTCGCCGGAACTGTTAGACGCGATTCTCAGGTCCTCGGATGCAGCTGATTTCTCTACTGAAGAACTGACTCGTCTCCAGGAAGGGATTTCTCAACAACTCACAGCTCGCGCACGTCTGGCTTCCCATCCTCATCACCCAGTACGTACATCGCGTGGAAGCACATCATTGGAGACGATTGGGGTCTCCGACCCCTACCGGCCCGTTAATCCTTCCGACAGCGGCCGAGACAAGATGAGTCCCGTCTTCGAGCTCACTGAAGACTAGACTCGCATGAGCAGCGCAGCGTACAAAATAAGGGTGGTCTCTACACTTTCATGATCTTGCTTGGCTGTTGGTTGAACATGGTTGTGCATGGTGCTTGTTCATCTACTAGCTGGATCGGAGCCCGCGACAATTCTTGCCTCTTGCCTCGACATGGACATCGATGATTCGAAGCAGCACCCATGGCTTGAATATTCAGTCTGGCATGATCAGGAGTGGGTGCGGATATACACTCCAGGACATCCTCAACGATGGCACCGCGGTGACGCCTTGCCTGATGTCCCTGAAAATTCGTTTCGTGAATGGCGGCGGGTGACTGAGCCCGATGCGCCAGTCCAAGCATGGGACATCCGTGACTGGCAACACCAAGGGTACCAGCGCATCTTGTCTCGGATTGAGTCCTTCACGACTCGCGATCCACATGATCAGGCGCTTGGTCAAGTTCGAAACTCCGATGCCGTTCCAGTTGAGGAGACATTCACCTATGCCACTCCGTTTTCTCATGGTGATCGCCCGGCTGCTTCGCAAATCGCTTCAGTCCTCTATGGCGACACTCGCAATGCTCAACGTGGTGATCTTTCGTTCCCGTCTTCTGAGCGGTTCAGGGCGGTGTCTCGCTCCCCTCGCCGTGGAGGATTTTTTGGTCAACGATAGACAATTGAGTGTGAGCATTTGATCTTCCTGCAGGAGAAAAGAGAAACATCGCCCCTCGTAGAGGGGCGTGTGTGTGCGGAGTGACAGAATGCCCTGTCACCACCCTTTCGGTTTCGCAGCAGGGGGACCAGGCGTCTTGCTGCTGACCTGGTCTAACAAAGCTAGGCAGCAAGACGGGATACCGGAGTTGGCCACTTCGGCGTACCTGCATTCCGTGATTCTGAATGTCCATTTGGCCCCCTTGGTTGCGGCGCTGTTTGTGCTTCTTGTTCTTTCGGGTAACGTGTTCGCTGCTAGACGGAAGCCACGGGACTGCAAGTCGATTCTACTCGAAACTCATCAGTTGTACTCGAGACTCATCAGTTGTACTCGAGACTCATCAGTTGTGCTCGAAAGATTAGCACTCTCCATTTGGAGTTCGAGTGTGTGTGCCAACCTCCTCGACCTTGCAACTTGAAGTGCGACCTTCCACGTGCGCCAGTTTTCAGAACTGCCATATTTTTTTGGTAGGGGGACATCGAGTGATCATGCGCGTGTTTGATGCACCCCACTTTAGGACCAACAGCCAGGAAGGCCCTGCACCGCGTGCATGCCTGGTTTCCTGCAAGATTGCACGAGGCAGACAGATGCGCGACTTCGTTGATTCTTGCCCATGCAGATATGTACCGTTGCCAAGCTACTGCGCACGTTTATGTGTATGTACATATCTTCTCGCCCCTAGTTGTGGAGTTGTGGAGCAGATGTCCTGTTCCTAAGAAAGACATGGCAGCCGTCCCTACATGTTGCACCAACCTTTGGAAGTTTGATGTGGTCACGGTTGGCACCAAAATAGACTGGATGGTTACATCTTCCCATTGTACTATGATCGACAGAGAAGACAAGCTGCAGCAGGCCGAGAACTCCCATCAGAGCACACCCTCTTGATATGCGCTAGGTGAGTTTGTTGCTCCCATGTTGTCAATAATGTGAGCGCCCGCGCTGGCTGGCGGGCTTCGACAGCATTGTTAAGGCTCTTGAGGGGCCCCTGTTCAAAGCTGAGTCAGGCAGGGCGGTTGGTCAGTGGTGTGTGGTGACTTCATCACAGTCTTCGGGCAGCCGACGCTCCAGCGAGGGATAGCAGGCATGACTATGGTTTCATGCTTCGGTGACGCCAAGGCCATCATTATCGATCCACACGCGCTTGGCGAGATTGACGATGAGGCGCTTTCTTGCTTGTCAAAACGGTTCCAAGCCTGAAAACTGGGGTTGGGGACAGGGTCCTCTTGCAGCTGGTGAGTGGCTGCATGAGAGACAACGCTGGGTACAAAGGGGCCCAAGCCGACATTAGTTTATACACATACTTGTATGTACATGTGCATCCGAATTTGGGCGATCAGCATTTGATGAGCAGCATTTGTTACCAGGAGCTGATCGGGTCAATTTGAAGCAAATCACTTGGCCTTGACAGCAGCCAGTTTGTCAGTTCAGTGATGTGGGTATGCATCAAGAGTCGGGATCCTGCCGAATGGTTGATGGTTGATATCCTGGCGGTTGTACTTTTTGTTGTGGACTGGTTGTCGAAAGCCAATTAATCTAGCCAGTTGACAGGAACATTGACAGTGCTTGCGCTTCACAAAGGTATGTTCCAATTTAGAAGGGCACACGGTCGAATTTGGGAAAGGGCACGACCACATATCATATACGTTATATATGCGGGAAGCCGCGAGCGATGTCATGATGCTGCTCAGCGCACCGCCGCCGGCGCATGCTGTGGCTCATGCAGGTTACTAGACCGGCGCAAACCCGCCCCTTGCTGGTTTTGTGCGGCAAAACCCACACAATATGTCAGTGGTCTTTCTGCAGAAGACCCAGATTTTCCGACATGATTGAGCCCCAGCCCCCAAACCTGACTCCAGCATGGTAAGCCCCTTCACGTCCCTTTTCCCATCTGCGGATGATTTCTTTGGCCCCCCATGCCTTGGCTGCGGCCTCGGCTCCGCCCGGCCGGCCCTGCCGCACGCCGGGCGCCGCGCGGGGCGCCGCGCCGGGCCGCGCCCGGCGCCTGGCGGGGGCGGCGCCGTTGGCGCTGGCGGCGAAGCGGCGGAGCGCGAGGCGCTGCAGCGAGGAGAGCAAAGTGATGCAGGCCGGGCAGACGAGCGGCGAGGACCGCGTCCGAACGGGCCACTGCTTGGGTTTGAAGGTCACCCGCACAAACCGAAACTCATCCAAATGGGGATGTACATGTATGCCAGAAGATGGCATTTTGTCTTTGGCAAGTATATAGCTTGTTCAAATTGAGATGTTGTTTGAACCCACGGCAGCAAACCCAACAATAAACAAGTATTAGATGAGCAGATGGATCCGAGGGATCAAAGGCTCATTCACCCACAGCGAGACAAATGGTCCGGCGGATGGGGATCATCGCCGAATTGACAACTAAGAAAGACTAACAAGAAAGCAAGTGGAAGCTGGTCACTTTCGTCGCTCCCCCATCAACTATGGAGCAACAACTGCCCCTGAAAGCAGATAAGACTAGAAAAGCATGCTTGCATGCAGAAATGCATTTCTCCTTGCGAACGCCCCCAAGCACCAAAGCATGCCCCAGTTGGGTTGGCTTTTGCTTGTTGCTGGAAACCTTGGAAATCAGTTTGGGGTTGGAGCAAAGGGGAAACCAACAGGACAACCTCCTCGTAGGTGGCGGAGGAAGCGGCGCGCGCGGCCGGGGCGTTGATCGTCGAGCGTGTTGGGGCGGAGGCAGGGCCAGTTGGTTGGGGCTTCAGGATGTCTGGAGAGGGTATCTTTATTTCAAAGATGGAAGGGCTTCAACTTCAAAGCACAGACAGGGTTGCACATTTGTGTTGAACAGGTTGAACGCTTGTTCAGCGAGGATGATCTGGAAGTCTTGGTGTTAGATATTTGTCCAGGGTAAGTATCAACCCCCAGAGAGGCAACTGTATACTGACCTGTGGATGGGGTGCCGTTTCCTTGAGGAATGCCGCAAGGCGACCAATCTTGGGCTGTATCTTTCCTTGCCACAGATCTTGACAACCTGCCGAGCAGCTTTTTCTCTTTTAGGCTGTGTCTTCTGAAATGGCTGGTGCCCGGCGTCAGGCTGTCAGGCTATCCGGTTCTGCCTTTTGACCTTCTTTCCTTGGACGGATTTCCGTAAAGAGGCTATTTCAGAGGGTTTCTACACCTTGGGGGGGTTCTTTGCAACAAGAAATGTCAAAAGTTGCAGAATGACTCAGAATGACCTGGGGGCTGTGTTTTCCTTCGCAACAAGTGAGAAAGGGTCAAGCAAATCAAGAATGACACAATCCGCATGTTTTTCTTCCCTGGGCGCCTGGGCCAGGTGCTGCGGAGCAAAGCCTTTGAGAGCGACCTGGTGACGGAGGTGGATCAGTGCTGCGAGGAGGCCGGAGCGGGGGGGGGGGATGCGCAATAGGCAAGTTTGTAGGTTAGGCATGGGCTCCGGCAGTTCCATCAAGCATTTGTTTTGACTGACCGCGCCGCAGATGTCGAGAGTTCGTCTTGCTTTGTCAGGCTGCTAGCGCTATTTCAAGCGGCATGGTTGGAGGGCATCCGCTCCGTTTTTTTTGCTTGAGGGTATTGGGGTTGATTTCAAGGGATTCCAAGAGGAAGCCGCCCATGTTAGCAGATGCTTTCAGCTCAGGTGATCCGGGAGATCGTGCAGAAGCATCTGCCCGGCCACGCCTTTCTTGGGGAGGCTGCGGATGTCCCGTGCGATGGATTGAGAGGAGATCACTCATGCGAGTCGTAATCAGAAAACTTGCTGTTTGTGATGTATCCGGGTTTTGATGGTACCTTATGTGCGGGGAGCTGACAAGATTTATAGTAGTTGGTTGTTTGCTTTGAACAACGACGTCCGGGGTGTGCCCCTTGGAAGCAAGTATTTTTGTCTGGGGCTCACGCGGGGTTGTCCAAATCGGCGGGCCCCTTTTCGGTGCCCCCTGAAGGCAGCACAAGGTGGCACCTACATGTGTTCGACAACCCCAGAATCGATCCCCAAAGCTCATGGGACAAGCGTGGCTTGACCTGGCCCACACTTGCAGGGGATGCCTTGGTGGCTCTTTGGTTCAACGCCAATCGCTGCTAGCTAGCAAACAGATAGACTCTTTTCAGAGGAAATAACCAGCTGGAAAAAGCTCGCGCAGCTGAAAAGGGGGGTCTGGGGTCCAAACCGTTTGGCAACCTTTGACACAAGAGGGTGCTGCAGGAAAGTGCCGGCAGCAGTATGGAGAGCCTGCTGAACACTGAAGGCAGGGCTGCTCGGACTCGTTGCCCAGGGCAAGGCGTCGAAGCGACGTCGTGAAACGGCTGGTTTGGGCACCCCAGCCTTTTCAAGGGGTAGCCGGGGAAAGAGCAATTGGGTTTGGTTGGGAGGGGGTTCACTCGTGGTTTTTAGATTTTGTTTGTCGTTGTTTGGCCCGAGTGAGAGCGCTGCAAATGCATGTATCCCGGAGGCAAGGCCGCAGCCTTACACAAGCCAGCCTTGTTTTGCAACCAAGTTGCAGCAGGGGTGGACACAGAAAGTCCCCTGCATCCCTTTCTTTTGACCTTTTGTGCGAAGGCTGGACAAATGGAATTCAGCAAGCTGTGTAAAAGTAAGGTGGGTGCCATGGTTGAGGATCAGCCTTTGGACTCGAACGACATCAAGAGCCATGTATGGGTATGTGTCAACATGAGCTGGATTGATCCCTTCATGGCAAGAGGAAACCAACATCACACCGGTACCACCTCAAGGACCATCGTTCCGTATGCAAAGTCTTTGGACAGCTAAGCGACTCAACAGCTGTAGCGATGAAAGGCAGCTCTGTTTTCGGGCAGCATCCCCTGAACCAAGCAGACGCTTCTTTGGGGACACCTTCTGGGCCTAGCGAGCGCGTCCGTGATTGGGCTCACCTGGGGGCATGCTTGGGAAGCTTGGTGTCTCGTTTCTTGGCCGCGGCAATTGAGCTTAGGTCTAGATGCTGTGGGTGTGAGCAAGCTACCAAGCCAGTTGTGTTGGGTCCTGTGGCAGATTTCCCGAGAGGGCGCCGCGATCTGAAGGGAGTGTGGGCGCCTATGCCCATTCTGTTAAGACTCCCAGCAATCTGATTTGCTTTCCATACCTGCCAAGTTCTAGGGATTTTGAAGCAAGAAACAAATAGAAACCACCGCATCTAATTGAAATTCACTCTAACGGAACACCCATCATCTCCTGATCCCGCCCTGGGTGACTGCTGGCAACCCAGAGCCGCCTCAGGCAGGCAATTCTAACTACCAAGCGTGGAGATCTTCCAAGGGACCTCTAGTCCTAGGTTTGGCAGGAAGGCAATCGGCTTCCAGTGCTTTTCTGAGGTTCCCCAGTTCAAGCATTGAGCTTCAGCCTTCCCTTGGACACTTCCCGTAGGGGCCTCCAAAAAGACGTGTCATTGGAGGCTTGCAGGTTTCAGTTGCCAGGCTGGCTGTGGGTGGTGGACCCTTTGGATGGCACCACCAACTTCGCCTCGGGGCAGCCCATGTCGGCGGTGAGCATCTGCGCGGCGCGCCACGGCCAGCCCAGGGCGGCGGCCGGGGGACCCAATCGGCTTGCGGGGGGCGGCAGCCCGGCCGTGGAGGCCGCGTTTGGGGGCGGTTTCAGGTTTTCAGGCGCCCATGCCCTAAGAATCCCGCTGGTTCAGCAGAATGATCTGGACTAAGCTTGCATGCCTCCCGCATCTATGCGTGTGTTTCTGAAAGGAGCATGAGCCTGCAAGTGGACCCTGAGCAGGATTTTTCGGCATTTGGACAGGTTTTGCGCCGACTTTAGATGCCTGCTTCCGTGCAAAGTGGCTCGTGTCTGTTCGCAGTCCTTACCCTCGCACCATCCTTCGGAAAGTAGCATGGCCATTCCGTTCTTCCTTTTCCAAGTCAGTTTTTTTTTTGCCAACTAGCACTCGAAGTGATGTGTGACCTCATGTTGATGCATTCTGCAGCAAGTGCCTCAGAAGTTGCCCCTGTCCCTCGCCTGCAGCTGCACCATGGCACCCTCGGAGTTCGCGTGGAAGCCGCGCTCACTCCGCTCGGAGCCCTGGGCCGCGGAGGCCTTCGCCGGGGCCGTGCTGCGGAAGCGCCCGGTGGGGGAGGCGAAGGCTTCGCTCTGCGAGGTGCGCGCCAACGGCTGCGGGGAGACGGTGTCGAAAGTCACCTTCCGCGCGGACGGCGCCTGCGAGGTGAAGGAGTTCAAGGGTTGGGCCTGGTGCAAGGTGGGCGTGTTCCGCAGTTGCAGTGAGGTGCAGTGGCGCTGGGAGAAGGCGGGAGGGCGGTGGAAGGTGTGGGTGGAGTCGGACACCGGGGAGACGGTGGTGGTGGCGAAGACCTTCGAGACAAGTTCGCCTCAGCTGGAGTTGTGCTCGCTGACGAGAAGCCGTCTTGAGGTCTCACTGCTGCCGCTTCAACCGGTGCGGAGCCCTCAGCCTTCCCAGGCAGAGCTGAGGGTGCAAGAGCTGATGGCGGAGGTCCAGCATGAGAGGGCACAGAAGGCAAATCTTCAGCAGCAGTGTGATGAGCTGAAGGAGCAGCTCACAACGATCACGCAGGAAAAGGCGCAGGCAGTTCAGAAAAAGGACGCCTTGCAGCAAGACAAACAGGATCTGCAGCATGAGCTGGAGCAGTGCAGGCGCAACTTTGCATTGCTCACACACGAGAAGGCTCACGAAACACACAAAGTGGAAGGCTTGCAGCAGGAAAAGCTGGATTTGCAGCAACAGCTGGAGCAGTCTAGGCACGATTTTGCATTGATCTCACAGCAGCAGCTTGAGCAATCCAGGCAGGAGTTTGTTTTGCTCATGCAGGAGAAGGCTCAAGCGACCCAGGAAAAGGATGCCTTGCAGCAGGAGAAACAAGACTTGCAGCAGCAGCTGGAGAAAGTGCGGCGTTACCTCATGTCGGCTTCCCAGAAGGCACCTACGACTCAGCGGAAGTTGCAGGAAGTCATGCAACAGCTTTTCGAGCTGAAGGAGCACTGCGATGCTGTGTTCGCGACCCAGCTTGGATAAGAACAATTGCTGAGCCTAATTTGCCCCATGCCTTCAATGCAGTATTTGTGCCTTGTGTTCCAATCGTATGCCAAGAAGAGAGCAGTGCTGCTGCAGCCTCCAGCACACAACTATGGTTCAAACTTATTTGAACGGCGTGTAATAATTCTGGAGGCCTTTGTGCGCTATCGGTCAACTATGGTAGAAATGCCAGGGGTGAAGCGAACGCGTTGATGTTAGTGCCAGGCTTCACCCAAAGGCACAGCATGCTGGATTTAGTGGCCCTTAGATTGAGGGGGTTGGATGGCTCCTTCTTCCTGCCCCGTTTCGGGGTTTCCATGTCGCAATTCGAGAGCTTGTCGCTGGGTCCTGGGTGAATTTGAATGCCAGGGTGCTTGGGTGATGCTGTTTGTTGGTGTCAGCGAGCACACAGACTGCGAGTGCAGGGTGATCCCGGATGCTGCCAGTACGGAGTGCTGGTGAAAAGTACTAAAAGCTGATGGCAGAAGGGGGTGCGGCCTCCCCTATGTTAGTAAAAAATGCTTGCAGGGACACATGCAGACTCTCACCATTGGCGAAGAGGTCTGTAATTTAGGAGAGGCTTATTTCATGTTTTGAGGCCTCAGTTCGAGCTCATGCGATTCTATTCTCAGCTTTGTCCGAGGATTTTGCCCAAGGCATGCCACCCGCGCCCGGCCTTGTCGCAGCTGTAGAGGCGCGGGCCGCGGATCCCCAGGCAGTGTCAGTAGGGTTTGGTGGTTTTTGCTTGTTCCAACAAGTTGGGATCCTGTTGCAGTGTGAACCTGTCCCGCCTGCTCACAGTTGTGAAAGTTCTTCTTTGTGTCGTGAACCGGCGGTTGCCGGTGAGCAATCTGAATGTCAGGACACGTGTGACCGGATTTGGTTCGGATTGCAAGTTTTGTCCTGACAGGCGTTGAGTTGCAATGCTTCCGGAGCTGGAGATTGGGCTGTGCTGGGCCAACCGGAGGACCTGCAGTCGGCCAGTGATGCCAGCAGCACGTCTGCAAAATGCTTCTCACTTGCGCAGAGCCCGACCTTTACATTTTTTCAATTTCCAGATTTCCAGTCTTGGCCCACATTCTCACTGTCCCCCGGATTTTTGCGAGATCTTTTGGTAAGCGAGGCTATCTGCCTTCCGCGGCCTTGCCAGATGCGGAGGGGCGGGGCCTCCTTTTTGTGGCTGGCTTGAAGCCCGGAGACCGCGTCCTGGCCAAGGCTGACCCGAGGGGTGCGGTGGAGGTGGTGCAGGTGATGCCACATGCCGCCGGTAGCTCGGCAATCGAAGCCTGGGTAGCCGAGGGGATGAAGGGTGGGGCATAGTCCAAATTGGTGCAGCAAGAAGCCTTTTGGCTTTTTCCTACCATGTGGTGGACATGGTGGGCTCATTTGGTGCCACGGATTTGATTGTGACTCGGCGTTCCTTTCTGGATTCCTTTTGTGCGTTCCCAGGGTTGCTTGTTGCAACCGTTTGGGTGCGTCTGAAAATAAGATTTCGCCCCGAAGTTGGCTGCTTTCCTTTTAGTTCGCCTTTTGAAACCATCCTGGAAGGGGCTCCCAATTTTTAACCACACCCCCAACAGAGCCCAGCATTTCCTGGATTTGGACAAAGGAAAGAAACCCGGCAGTTCCCCATGAATCAATCGTCAGTTTACGAATCCCAGATCCTCAAATATTCCTGGGTTCCCATTGGGCAGTTTGCGAGTGATTTGTGGCTTGAACGACTTGAAAGGCAAGAAGCCCTATGACGTGGTGGATCTCCACACGCACCAGGGCTGCTTCACCGTGTCCTCGTCCCACCTCGTGGCGGTGCCGGGAGACGCAGGCAGGGTGTTGCGGCAGAGGAGGGGCGGCGGCAGCATAGGTGGGCTTCGTCTCTGTATAGAGGGTACACGTTTTGGGGTTTGTGTTTTTTCCCCAACAGCTGAAAGCTTTGGGGTCTCAGCCCAGATAGGCTCCGGGGTGGTCCTTGGCGGCCTTGAGGTAAGGTTCCACCAGCGTTCCACCACGAGGGTTCCACGAGGTTCTGCGAGGGTTCTGGGAGGGCGGGGTGCTGTTGGGGATATCGCCTGAGCTTATTTTCTTTTTGTGAAGAGGAAAATGCAAAGGATCTGGGTGCGTCTTTGAAAAGGGAAGCCAACCGGGCATTAAGAAACCATGCAAAGAATCAACTCAATGAGGGCAACTAAGAAATCAAGAAGGAGTCGCCGCATCAATTCATGGTGGGAGTTCTTCCCTGCGGATGGCTCTTTTCTGCCGTGCAGAAAGCCGAATGGAAACAACCAAGGTGTGGCATTTGCAACTGGTCGCCCATTGCTTTTTGGGGAGAAGTAGGTCCACTTGATTTGCCCCTGAAACTTCACTTTTTCCAGAGGGAACTCACTGAGCATCCAAAAGGTGATGTGCCTCATGACAAGAAAGATACTGTGTGCCCTCCAGGTCTCCTTTGTGCAAATAGATGGATGGGACAAGGATTCGAACCATTTTGGTGCCGGGTGCCGGCTTCTGGATTATAACTCTCAAGAGGCCGCTGGTCGCTGCGCGTTGCTGGTGCTGTGCAGGCACAGAGGAGAGGCGCGCAGACGCGCTGAGGCCGGGGGAGTTCGTCTTCGTGGGCAGCATGAAGAGGGAGCTGAAGAAAGTCACTCACCGAAAGGAGCGCTGGGGAGGCTGGCTGAGGTTGGGTCCCCGTGCTCTCTAACCGTTCGGTGGAATTCTTGACTCTTTGCGACTTCCTGTGCTTGACACAAGGGCAGAGCTTGTTGGCGAGTTGTGATCTTATGCTTTTCCACAAAGCCTTGCAATGCAACAGGCTTTCAGTATGGCGTCACCAATGAACCCATTTGGGTATTTTTTGGTATAAGTCAAAAGTACGGACCTCTCTAGGTAGATAGTATCATGTCTGTTCCCCACTTCCAACTGGATTGCCGAGACCCGGAGAGGAGCGCACGGATCTATTCGAGATCATCTTCGACACGGACGTCCCCCTGGAGCCTCAGTTGTTCCGTGGCGCCTTTTTGTTTCTTTTCTTGGTCCTGGTCCTGTTGCGGCCCCCCAACTGAAACACCAACAAAACACATTGCAGTCTTTTCCCCCACCAGCATACAGTGGAGCAAACGGAGCAGCCGTTGTTAATCCCTCATTTGGGACCTCCTTGATGCGGTAAACCTCCTTTTCCCAAGATGTCCAAAATCTAAACATGATATATTGGGTTGGTCCACTGGTCATTGGGTTGCAACTCAGGAGATGTTTCATGTGCCGAGCTGGGGGATGCTCACCTTTGGCTCCCCGCGCACCGATGCTGCGGATGTGGATGCAGATGTGGCTGCCTCTTCTGGTGGAAGGCTTGTGTCTGAGGAGGTGGACATGCTGTGCCTGGTGGGCACGCCCGGCTGCGAAGGTGAGTAGATCAAGTCCACAGTCGGGCAGTGTACAGAGGGCCTTGGCGGGGCGAAGGGATTTTGCTCGATTTCGCGCCGAGATAGGCCGAAGCTCGTTTTGGTGGCTACAACTAACAGCACCCTCTGCCCTGCCAAGACCCGAGTGGATGATCAGACGGTCGATGGAGTAGCGGTTCCCATCGTTAGCCGATCTCTGAATCTCTTTGCGGAGTTTCGGCCCAGTGGGTTAGCGACGTGATCCATGGCCTGCCGGTTTTTGCAAGGTTTTTAGAAGCGCGTGGCTTTAGCGCAGCGAAGGTGATCACAGACACTGTGCGCATGGCGCTGGTGAAAACAGGCGATCAGGTGACCTGAGCGCTTGCGGCTGAAAGCGAATGGGAGGGTGGGCTTGAAACTGGCGGACAAGAAGCCATGAATAAGCCGAACGACAGAAGAGTCCAAGTGGATTTCGACAGGTTTGTAGGTATCGGACTTGAAGCAAAAAGAAAAAACGGGTTTCCCTCATCACACGCAAAGCCAGCTCAACCACGCAGGGCTTTCCATCTGACCGAGCCTTAGTTCTTGTCAGCAAGATAAGGGGCAAGGAGCGTCAAAAGGTGCAAAACGCAACCGACCGCCTTGTGAAGCACGGATTTGGGTTGGCTTGCGGCTGGTTTGGTGCCGAAGGGGCAACTCATGCTTTATGTTTTTCATTTCAGCTGGATGTGAGGACTGGGGGATTTTGTGGGCCGAGGCCATCTACGAGCCCTTCCGCGACGAGCTCTTCACGGCACGCAGCACCCGGGGGGCCTTCCTCAACGGGGAGATCATTTGCGTCTCCGGCACCCCACGGCTGGCGGAGGCGGGGTGTTGGAGCGGGTCGTCCATGCAGCTGTAGGTCGGGTTACGGGACCCGTCTCTGAAACGGACCCTCTTTGGCACATGTGACTTCCGGGACCGGTGTCTTCGACATGATCTTCCCAGCTCTTGAGCTTGTTTGTTTTGACATCTTGCAACTTGGCCTCAGCCGCACTAACGGCGGTATGCTTGGCGAATCCCGCATCTGACTACATTCAGCTGCTTGTCATGAAAAGTCTTATGGGGAGGCCAGTTTGCATAGTGTTTGGTTGCTTCTATCATGAAAGGGTCGCGTTCTTTTTGCCTCGCGGTGACACACGCACACACACACACACACACCATTGCAGCGGATATGCCACCCAATGCGGACCTGGGCAAATGTGGATTTCGATGCAATAGCCCTTATCCAAACCGCCGAACCTGATATTCAGAGCCTATCAATTTGCGCAAAACATGCTTGGCGTTGTTGGCTGCTAGTACTCTTTGGCGAAGAACAACGCTGGATGCACAGTGGGAATCACCCGTCAGTCTCAGCCTTTGTTTTGCACAGACCAGGCCTCCTTGTTTAGAGCAGCCCTTGTTGCTTTGGTAAACGCTTCGCACCGTTTCCCACTGATCAGCCATTTGTTCCGTCCCTGGCCCCCGGGGTTTGCGTGTTTTTTGTTTCCACGCCCTTGGGCCTGGGTGGCAATTATGGCCTATGGCCCACATCAGTGAGGTTCACAGCTTCAGCTTTTGGAGGCGAGTTTGAGAGTCAATCATGCAACCTTTGCAACATGAGAATCTCAGCTGTTTTTCAGCCGCGTGTTCCTGGGGTCTGCACCGCACAAGTGGACTGGGTTCCCTGCCGGCCGCACCGGGCTCGCTCGCCAGGCGGTGGTGGCCTCCGGGTGCGCGCCGGACCCCCGCAGCAGCGCCGCGTGCTTCCGCGCCATGGCGCACCTGGCTCCCAAGACCAGGCGCCTGGGGGCCTGGGGGCCTGGGGCCTGGGGCCTGGGGCCTGGGGTCGGGGGAGGCGGGGCGGCGGCATGACAAGTTTTGGGGGACTGGTGTGGGTAATTATGTGTTGCATACAGCATGAACAAGAGATGTGTAGAAAAGGGTTGCTGGTGTGGGAGGGAGGGTTGGCAAGAGAGGATCATAGAGGATCTTGTTTGTGTTTGTCATTTGCTTTTCGGCGAGAGGCGGAGTTTTATGAGCGGTAGCATTCCAGAGATCTTTTGCCAGACATGGGGGTTGGTCACTGAGCACTGCCACAGGCCAATGTTGCGGGATGCTGTCCTAAGGGCCCATTGATTGCAGAGTCTCGGCATTTGCCAAAATTATATTATGATTCGGCGTCTGGAAGCTGGTCATGCAGCTTTTGGAGCAACAGGTGTTCCAAGGTCCATATGGGTATGGGTCCAAATTAAACAACCAAGGGACCGCAGGTTTTAGTGCTTGGTTCCATTTGGCAGGGTTCCATTTGGCAGGGTTCCATTTTGGGTACATAATTTTGACCCACAGCCATATGGGTGCGTGTGTCTTGTTTTGGGGAACCCCTTTTGGTTTGCGCATCTTCCTAAGTTGGCTTCGCTATAGCCAGCAGACCTGAGGATTGGAACGAGCCTCGCGGGGACCCATGCGCAAAATGCCAACATAGCCCTTCTGGGCTTGTTAGCGCATCCCCGTGTGGCAACAAGACCAGGTCCGCCTCCCTGCCTACTGCTCTGCAGGGCTGCTTGCAGAAACCGAAGTGTTATTTGCAGTTTTCAACTCACAAGCCAATGTTTTATGAGTTACGTACATTTGTTGTTGGCAAGTCACACCTTCCCACAGAACAATTCGCGGCCTGGCAGCTCCGGCGCCCGGCGGGCGCCTTTCTCCGCGCGCGCTCCGCGCGCCCTCCGCCCAGGACGGTGCGGATCCTGGGGTCCGCGGCCATCAACTTCGCGTGGCTGGCCTGCGGGCGTCTGGACGGGTGGTTCGAGGCGACGTTCTGTTTGGGGTGGCAGCCCACCCGAAATAGGAACCCCCCCCCCTAAAGGACCGTAAAGGACCCGTAAAGGACCCCTAAGGAGCCCTAAGGCAGGGACAACTGGGCATTACTCAGAGTCATGGCTTGGATTTGCCGAAGCCGATTTCCATGGCAGGGCTGTTGCGGTTTCAGGCACCCCGTTGCGGTAGGGGATCTCTGTTCGGCTTCCCGTTTGGACGTTCCACTTGCCAGGTGGACCTCAACTGCTGGGACACGGCCGCGGGGGTCCTACTAGTGCAGGAGGCCTGGCTCGGGCTGCTTGCATGTGGGCTTTGTCCATGTTTGCTCGTGCCTTTTGGGCTGTGGGGCATATGCGTGCATGGTCGTGCGTTGGGATGCCGCTGGCGCCTAGAAAAGATCTGCCTTTGATCACCTTCGTGGGGGAATGTGTCCTCCCCTTCAATTTGGGCCCATTGTTTAATCATTGGCGTGCGCGTGAATGTTGACCCAGACGTAGTACCAATCTGGTTTTTCTCTTTTCGGGACTTGGAGATCCAGGTATGCCAACTTTTCCCTTCCTTGGTGGACACCTGCACGTTTGGTCACGCGTTTCCTTGTCCCTTCGCTAGGCTGGCGGCATTGTGACGGACTGCCTGGGGAACGATTACACTCTGAAGACGCGGCCCGTCTGTGCCAGCAATGGCCACATCCATTTCGACCTGCTGCTTGGGCGGCACTGGGCTTGCACCTGGGGAAAGGAGCGCGTGGGTCCTCCCAAGGCCAAGGGCCTAAGTATCGTATTTGGACGTACCTTGAGCAGTGGTAAACAAGGGGTCAACCTAAGTACTTCAATTGCAAACAGCATGCCGACAACCTCCGACACAAATTATTCGAGAGACCCATTTCACATGAGCCATTGTTCCCTTGCACCGACATTGCATTATTATATGCGTTGTCCATATAACCAGGATCCATCGTGGTCAACACTGTAGATGAGCTGAGTACATTGCGTGCAGTCAGAGGGCCCCAGAAGGCAACCGCGGTAGATGAGCAACGCCTCTTCTTTATCCACTACTGGTGGGCTTTGTCATTGGATTGCAGTTGGGATGTTGTCTCTTTCCGAATTCTGTCACAGGAGCCTGTTTCTGCAGTGTTGGTCGCGACTCAGCCTCACATCTACTAACTCAGCACCCTGGCCCAGACTTGGATCCAGAAAGTGGGACCCAGAAGGGGGGTAGTAAGGGTGGCAAAAGAAGAACCATTGCAGGGGTTTGCGCCGGCGGAACAATGACCACAATGGACACCATGCATTTTGACAATTCTCATTCTCCGGGCTTTCAACGGTTGCCCGGTTGTAGACCCCGACTGGTTCCTTTTGGCCTGCCTTCAAACATGTGAGCCTGGGGTTTGACCGCATTTTTCCAATGTGAAGGTTTCTCTGATCCTGTGCCAAGGTTGGAAGAGTTGGCAGATGCCAACGTGACGGGGCTGGACCCCTAGATGCTAATCTCGGCGCCAAAGGCCCGGGCATGGGGATTCAGCCATGGCAGGTGGTGGATGCAGCTGAAATTGTAGCCTGAGCTCCTACAGCACATTTGAAGGGATGTTGAAGGAGTGATCACTGCCTTTGTTTGCAGGTAGGAGCATCACTCCAGCGCAGTTCATGCGTTTGGACGGCCCCTGGACATTTGTAAGGACACGTATGCAACTCGCGACACAAACAATCCCGTCGAGTGGACCACGTGAAAGGCGTTGCGATCGTGCCCAATCCACGACTCATGCAAGATCTCAAGCAGAGCCTCCGAAATGAGGGCTACAAAGATGGTTTCGGGACACAGAACAGGGTTCCCTTCGCACTGGCCCAGGCCTGGGATCAGGGCAACGCACAAATTCGGAGAATCTGCTTGAGCACCAGGGGATTTTGGAGCGTTCCCTCCCGGCACACTCGCTGGCTGGATTTCTGCTTCCTGCTAGGAGCCACCCCTGTTAGTGGATTCCTCCCAAGGGTGAGCGAACAACCAGGATCCGTGCGAGCCCAACCTTCTCATGTTCAAAGCCAGCCAGCCAACCTCTCAGTTGTTCCTGCTTGACACCTCCCAAGGTTTGATGTTTTTTTGTATATCGTCTCCTTCGCTGTGTCTCATATTCGCAGCTAACCAACCGCCTTGTGTCCACAATTGAACACGTGTTCTGTACTTCTCGCAAGTACGTAGTTTGTTTTAAAGTCCATCTTGGTCGCTGGGCCCTGGCTCAATCTGAGCGTGACCTATCATGGTGTTTGGCCAGGATGCGCTGAGCGAGCGCATGGACTCAATTCTTCTTGGACACGGCCAATGAACCGAGGACGCCTGGCAGCTGAGAGCTGCTCCACCTCTGTGCGATTTAAGGCCAACGCAAGCAAGCAAGCACGCACGCACCATGACACATGGATACTAAGCAGAGTACCAGCAACACTGCACTCAAGAACAAATCTCCTTTTGACGGACCGGGTGCGTAGCTATCATTGCTGGTAAGCCCTAGCACCCACCCAGAGACTCTGAGTCACCACAACAAATTTGTGTTTTGAAAAGCCCCCTTAGGTGACCTTCTTTCAATGTGTGAAAACATCTCACACCCAGGGTTCCCAAAGCCGCCCCGCATTTGCTGTTCAGTTTCTCCACCTTCAGATCCTAGCCTGCTCTCAGGAAAGCTTCGCGAGGGCGGGCCTTGCCACTGAACCCTGGCGATGAGCGTGGATTGTTGATTGCGGACCAAAACACGCGGCGGCCGGCGGGAGGAAGGGCACCGAGAAGAGGGCCTTGCACAAAAGAGAGCTTGCTTGGAGGAAACTGGATGCTGCAGCAGTGGGCTTTGGTTCTTCTGTCGGCGCATTGGAGAGGGGAGCGGGCCATCTTGGCCCGTAAGAAAGGTTGGGAATTGAGGGGGCTCCAAACCATCGCAACCTTCATGCCACTTACTCTTCGATGCGCCCAATGATCATCTGAATGGCATGCTGGACAAGTCCCAGTTTACAGGCAAAATGGGCTCTGAAACACGGGCCTTCCCGGCAGATGCAGTCCTGAGACCCCCGGCGGGTCGCTCGGCCCGGCTCGCCAGGTCGACGAGGCCACGGGCATCCCGAAGCAGCCGGGGCGCCCATGGGGAGGGAGTTGCCGAAACGCCCAGGGGGAAAGGGCCCGGAAACGCGGCGTTTTTTGGTTTTGTCTTGTTCATGTTTTTCGGGTGTCACTCGAAAAGGGTTACCGTGTCATCTGCCAGATGTGTTCATTTGCAGCGGATTTGACTGGAGAACGTGGGAACTTTGCACAAAATGTCCGTTTGGTCAATCCCTCGAGTACCCTCTTCCAGCAAATCGCGGAAATGGAGAGGTGTGTTGAAGATGACGGTACTCTATTCTCAGCTGTTGGGTAGACATTAAATGGGGGGACCCTTTTCGTGACCTGCTTTGTCAGCCAATGGCGAAGTAGAAGCACCCAGATTTGGTCATATGTTTTTGAGGTTGCCCTTTTGCTTTGAATGGACACCACGAAGCTCGACTATTTTGTTGGCGGGGAGGGGGGCCCTCCTTCTGAGACAACCCAATGTGGGCCTTGCTTTTTTCCAGCTTTGACCATGTCTTTGGCGCAGCTCGAAAAGTAGGCTTTCCAGCGCGGCTCCTGTCTTGGTGTTGACCTGACGATTCACGCAGGAGGCTGGACACCAAAGCCTCTCTGGTCGCTTTGAGCCACAGCACCTTTTGCACCTTAAGCAATAATTCAGCTATCACCTCTGGAATATCCTCATTGTTTTCTATGGCGGAATGAGCGCCTCTTTAACCACCAGAACTATCAAGGTATTTGGCCACAAACCGCAAAGGCCCAGGCACACCGTGCATTTGTCCACACGCGCGCGGTTCAAGATTTGCAAAGGAGTTCAACAAGAGGCGACACACCTTTGGCCGCGTTGGGAACGCCCAGGCTGCAGGCCTTCATCGTTTTAAACGACCCAAAGATCGCGGCGGCTCGACTGGACGGTGAATGGAGAGAAGGGGGAGGGGCCGTTTTGTCCGATTTCGTTTCTATCCATTCCTTGCGCGTGCGCGCGTATTTGTTTCATATGACATATGCTTTGTTTGCTGTTTGCAAGTCTTGTTGTGTAGCTTCTCCTTGCTTTCTTCGTTTGTCTAACATGGAATCAAGGTTCTGAGTGGCACCGGAGGCATGGTCACCCTCACCTGACTTTTGCTCATGCGGAGATGCCTTCTGATCCAGGCAAAGGCTTAGTGGTGGCTGGAACCAACACAAATGTCCCTTGAAGGTGGCCACTACACACTTGGGGCTCACCAGAGAAGCAAAGTAGCAGGGGGACTGCAAGAGCGCAACCTCGGTATGCAGTCCAAGTTCAGGTCCCCGCCCAATGGCTAAATGGAAAACACCCAGATTGAAGCTCCCCCTTCAGAGACACATCCATAATATCACAGTTCCTGGGATGCTAGGGTCAGTTTTTGTCCTAGGAGTTTCTTTACGGAAAATGCTTCTTCCCAGAAACCAGCAAACGAATCAAGTGGTCTGGTTGTTGAGTAGTATTTTGGTGAAAGCAAATAGCAACACCTAATTTCACCTCTAGGTTTTTGCATCACGGATGGTTTCCCTTGGTTTCCTGTGGCTCGCCTGGAAGCACCGGGGATCCGAGCTCTGAGTTTCGCAGCTCCGAGGTGGTGCCCAACTTCTTCAGCGACGTAGAGTGCCAGCATCTGCTGACACTAGTGGAGGCGGGGGGCCAGGTGGGGCGAGGAGTTGGCTGCGCCACGGTAATGGATCTTTGAGCAAAAAGACGTTACTGGTGCAGCAAAACGGAAGTTTGTTTCCTCCATGTTCGGTTTACATAGCTGTGTTCAACAGAAGATCGGCAACAAGGGAGCAGCATTTTTCCGCTTGTTTATTTCATTTGTGGCCCCATGTTGCAATTGTTGCTGACTGCCTCGCGGCCTGAAGCAGCTGGGCGCCCTCGCCGCTCGCCCGATTGGATTGGCTCCGAGTGTCAGAGCGGATCATGACGCATGGCATGGAACCACAACTCGCCGCTCTGAAGGGCAGTTTTGCACTGCAAGACACCCAACGAGAAATTTAGCAAACGAGGGAGGGGCGAATGAAGAGAAGTCTGCCCCGAGCTGCCCAAAATGGGTCCGCGCGTGCGCGGCAGGTCTTGCTAGCAACTAGCGGCCTGGAAATGTTTCCGAGTAATCCCTGCCTTGACTTCGCGCAGCCACTACAGCCGTATGTCAAACAGGTATGGTTCCAAGAGAAATTTTGCAGCTTGGGGTGACAGAGTTTCGCGGTGGCGAGGCGGATTGTGCGGTTCGGCGCAACATCGCGCGGCCATGGAGTCGGGGTGGCTGCGCGAAGAGGACGCAGCGCTGATCGAGGAGGATGCCGAGAGGAACGCTGAGCAGGCCGAGAGGAATTCGGCCATGAGGTCGAGCCTAGGCGATTTGGCGAGTTCGGGAGGCGGAAGGGAGCCGGGAAAAAGGGCGATATCCTACGGCTCCCACACAGGTGGCGTGGTGGAACTTGCTTCCAGGGACCTTGCCTCTCATCTCGGGTTCCGTGATAAGAGAGCAAAGGGGTGCTACCTTTTCCGGCATGCCTTTTTGGTGAATGGACTGCCTCAGGACCTCCCCCAGAGCTCAGCAAATGAAAGTGGGGTTCTTTGACTGGGAGGCAACCGCACCTGCTTGGCCACCCTGTGACTTCAAGTGCTTCGTGCGCACCGGACCGTGGCTTCGTGCTTGATCAGATCCTTTTCGGTTTCGGGGGAGCCTTCGAAGGGAAGGCGTCGATCCGGTGCAAAGGCATCTCCGATAGGAAAGCGGACTGGGGCAGCGGCATCCAGGGCGCTGAATTAGGACCGGTGGAATTTGCCCTCCTCTCACTCCTGCCCCAAGGCCCAACCTCTATCAGTGGGTGCTGGTGCTTGCGTTTTAAGCCAACTCGCCTTCTTTCCGGGGTTTCATGTTACTCGCACGCAAATATGAGGTGTTTTGTTTTTGGTGTGGCGGGTTTCCCTTTCGGCTTTTTCGGGGGCCATACGACCCGCCGGGTTTCCCAAAGGGCCCTCCGCCGGGGGATCCCAGCTGCGCCCGCCTGAGGATGCTGAAGCGGCGCCGGGCGGAGGAGACCAAGGAGCAGCCCGTGGAAGCCCCGCAGGCGATGTGCGAAGCGACGCGGGGGCGGGGGGGAAGGGGGCAGGGGGGCCATTGTTTAGACTGAAAGCCTAAAATCAAGAAAGGCCTTTTATGTGTCCATTCTACGGGTGGGTGGGTGGGCTGAGACTGGGCCCCGAAGAAAGTGAACAAAAATGAATAAGGAGCCTAAGGGAGGTTGTTTACGGCCCCTGGGACAGTTGGCTCGGGAGGCTGAAGCAAATGGGTCACACATGGGAAGCACATGGAAAACAACTCTAACAGTTGTTTGGCGTACAGTCTTCGGGAAGTGACGCAGGGGTTCGCCGGGCCGGTGGTGGATCCGGTGACCTGAGGGAGACACAAACAACTTGAAATGGGAAACGCATGGGAAGTAGCTCTGACAGTTGGGTAGCAATCAGTGTTTGTTGGACCCATGTTGCCATTTGCCCATGTTGGACATGGATGGACACTTTAACGAAAGCAATGGTTTTTTGACTCCAAAGTGGTGGGAAAAGAAGATGAGACCTTTGGCAAGGGCAGGTCAGGTCTTTTCCCACAGTTGTGATGCCGGGTAGTTTCTACAGCTCCTACTTTGTCAAACGATGCACTGCGAGTGGCCCATGAGCCTGCAAGTGGACAGGATTTGTTGACATTTGGACAGGTTTTGCGCCGACTTTAGATGCCTGCTTCCGTGCAAAGTGGCTCGTGTCTGTTTGCAGTCCTTACCCTCGCACCATCCTTCGGAAAGTAGCATGGCCATTCCGTTCTTCCTTTTCCAAGTCAGTTTTTTTTTGCCAACTAGCACTCGAAGTGATGTGTGACCTCATGTTGATGCATTCTGCAGCAAGTGCCTCAGAAGTTGCCCCTGTCCCTTGCCTGCAGCTGCACCATGGCCCCCTCGGAGTTCGCGTGGAAGCCGCGCTCACTCCGCCGGAGCCCTGGGCCGCGGAGGCCTTCGCCGGGGCCGTGCTGCGGAAGCGCCCGGCGGCGGGGAAGGTGTGGGCTTGGCTCTGCGAGGTGCGCGGCGACGGCTCGGGGGTGTCGAAAGTCACCTTTTGCCTGGACGGCTTCTGCAAGGTGCAGGAGTGCGGGACCTTGGCCTGGTACACGGTGGGCAAGTTCCCCGATTGCAGTGAGGTGCAGTGGCGCTGGGAGAAGGCGGGAGGGCGGTGGAAGGTGTGGGTGGAGTCGGACACCGGGGAGATGGTGGTGCTGGGGAAGACCTTTGAGACAAGTTCGCCTCAGCTGGAGTTGTGCTCGCGGACTCCGAACAGTCTTGAGGTCTCACTCCTGCCGCTTCAACCGGTGCGGAGCCCTCAGCCTTCCCAGGCAGAGCTGAGGGTGCAAGAGCTGACCGCAGAGGTCCAGCATGAGAGGGCACAGAAGGCAGAGCTCCGGCAGCAGTGCAACGCGCTGCAGCAGCAGTTCACAAAGATTCTGCAGGAAAAGGCGCAGGCAGTACAGGAAAAGGACGCCTTGCAGCGGGAGAATCAGGATCTGCAGCAGCAGCTGGAGCTGTCCAGGAGTGACTGCGCGTTGCTCGCGCACGAGAAGGCTCACGAAACACACAAAGTGGAAGGCTTGCAGCAGGAAAAGCTGGATTTGCAGCAGCAGCTGGAGCAGTCTAGGCACGATTTTGCATTGCTCTCACAGCAACAGCTTGAGCAATCCAGGCAGGACTTTGCGTTGCTTAGGCAGGAGAAGGCTCAAGCGACCCAAGAAAAGGATGCCTTGCAGCAGGAAAAGGAACACTTGCAGCAGCAGCTGGAGCAACTCAGGCATGATCTCATTTTGGCTTCGCAGAAGGCACCGATGGCTCAGCGGAAGTTGCAGGCAGTCATGCAACAGCTTTTCCAGCTGAAGGAGCACTGCGATGCTGTGTTTGCGCCCCAGCTTGAATAAGAACATTTGCCAAATCTGCCCCGCCATTTGCCTCCCTCTGGGTTTTCCAACTCTGCATTGTGCAACTCTGAGAGCTTCTGAGCCGGCGACTTTGTCAGGCATTCAGCCGCTCCACCGACAGCGATCTGCAACCAGATGAAGAAGCAGGCGTGGCCATACTCATCAAAGTCATTGGGTGGAACAGTTTATTTTTGCTGCATGGTGCGATCTCCCTCACTTAGTGTTTGGTTGCATTCTGAGAGAGACGGATAAGCTCTTGGCTCCTGCTCAGGCGACTCCCCTTCCAGCAGCGGAAACTCCTGGACTTTGCTGGGAGATCAAACGGAGGAGGAGGTGCGGTCGGTGAGCGATGCCAGCAGCCAATCTGCCAAGTGTTTCCTCCCCAACACGGCCCTGCCCAGCGCAGACGGCCACCTTCTACGGGTGGAGAATCTCAAGCTCGGGGACAAAGTCCGCCTCAGCGACGGGGCCGAGGCGTCTGTTGTGGATGTGAAGAGGCACCCCTCCAAGAAGAAGCCCTATGAAGTGGTGGAGCTCAGCACGCACCAGGGGAAGTTCCCAGTGTCTGACTCCCATCACGTGGCCGTGCCAGGTGCCACAGGCGGGCGAGGTTGCCTTCAGGCAACATTTTGTTTAGCCCTGTCAAACTGTGCATGTGATGATGTGCTCGCATGTGACCTGTCATGGTTTTCATTTTGATGTGCCTCAGCAGTTTTTGTACTTGGACATTCGCAACGTTCCTGCCAGGTTTCTTTCAATTTGAAGCCTCGGCTAGGGTTCCAAGTGCGTCCCTCCCTCTCTCCCTCTCTCTCTCTCTCTCTTTGTCTCTCTCTGTCTCTCTCTCTCTCTCTCTCTCTGTCTCTCTCTGTCTCTCTCTCTGTCTCTCTCTGTGTCTCGCTCTCTGTCTCTCTCTGTCTCTCTCTCTCTCTCTCTGTCTCGCTCCGTGTCTCTCTCTCTCTCTCTGTCTCTCTGTCTCTCTGTCTCGCTCTCTGCCTCTCTCTCTCCCTCTCTCTCTCTCTCTCTGTCTCTCTGTCTCGCTCTCTGTCTCTGTATCTCTCTGTGTCTCTCTCTCTCTCTCTATCTCCCTGTCTCTCTCTCTCTCTCTCTCTCTCTCTGTCTCTCTTTCTTTCTGTCTCTGTGCACTTGCGGCTTTTTGGGATGCCAGTGCACTCAGGTACCATAGGCATGCCTTCTGCTTTCCTCTGTTCGCGCTTCAGTTCCTTGACAGCGACCAACCGTGTTCGCCTTGCCCCTCATTCTTAGCAGATGGGTCTGGAAGTTCATCGTGAGTGGTTTGTTCTGCCAAATGGATCTCCAATGTACCGGGGTCAACGTGTCGCTGCGGCCGGCCACCGGCCAGGCCCCTGCCGGCAGCGCGCAGATTCCCTGAAGCTGGGGGACTCGGTCATCGTGGGCAGCGAGGAGCGGAAGCTGACCAAGGTGGTCGGCCGGAAGGAGCGCGTCCTCTTCGGGTGGGGGACAGGTGTGTGTTTCCATGAGACAAAGAAGGCGCCTCGGTGCGCTTTGCCCAAGATAGAAAGGCTTGTTGTGGTCCATGTTGTTTTCGCATGTTGGCTTAGTTAGCATGATGCCGGGAGCATCCTGGTCTGTGTAAGAGCGTCGAGGGTGAGACGGGGTGGGGTAGGAGCACACGAATCTCTTCGAAGTCTTTTTGGAGCCGGACGGGCCGCTGGAGATGTTTTACTTGAAGCAGAGCTGGAGTTTGCAGGTTTTCGGTTCAGATGCCGTTGACTCTGGCGCTTCACATGGTGCAGATGCCGGTGGGTCAGATGGATGTCTTCCAAAAGAGGGCGCTGATGAGGAGGAGTCCTGTCTGATGGGAAGTCCAAGTTGAGGCGGAGCTGAGGAATCAATGTACAGAGCAGGCTTTGGCCGAGGGGGGGGAATCTGTTGCCAAAGAGAAGTGGACACCAATGAAAGCTATGAACCCTTTGCCAATACCTGCAGGTTTGCGATTTGTTGGCCGCAGGAGTGACGGTTCCTGTTGTGAGTCGAGTTCCGTGAGGAGCTTTGGACACAGCGAGTTTTCATGGTCTTCCATGGCCAGCTAGCACAGCTAGGGTTTTTGAAAGCCGCCGAAGCATGGCGAAGGTTGGCTCGACGCTCAAAATGCATGAGGAGGCGCTTCCTTCCCTTCCCTTTCCCTTTCCCTTTCCCTTTCCCTTTCCCTTTCCCTTTCCCTTTCCCTTTCCCTTTCCCCTTCCCTCCCTTCCTTCCTTCCTTCCTTCCTTCCTTCCTTCCTTCCTTCCTTCTTTCCAGGGTGCTCGTTTCATCACCCGATCCTTTGGGAGGTTCTGGCGGGTGGGTGGGTGACCTGCAGGCCTTCATGGCGGTGTCCAAAGCCGCGGCGCAGCGCAACGTGGACCAGGGGAAGCCCCCGTGGTTCGTGACGCGCCCGCACATCGAGAACGCGGTGCTGCGGCTCCACGAGGATCGACGTTGCGGGCGGCGGCTTGGGGAGTTTCCCCGCGGCTTGGGGAGTTTCCCCTAGAACGGTCGCAAGCTTCGCAAGGTTGGGTTAGCCAACCGGAAGGGGAAATCCGGGAATGAGAGTTATCCTGAAGTTTTTGCCAGGGTCTCCTCTCCTTCTAAGAAAGCAGCCACCCTGAATAACTATGCATAGACCATATCCAAGTTAGCTCCTCCGTTCACCCGCAAGGCAACAGGCAAGCCCTGCAACAGATGCTTAGTGGAGCTTTCGCTTGGATTTTCCCTTCGGGCCACGTTGAACAGTTCCAGTTAGGAGATGCTGGACTTCGTAGACTTCATGCAGCACACCCGGGAGGAGGTGCACGCCCGGAGGAAGTGGGTACAGACCATCAAGGAGCCATCATCGAGAGAGAGAGAGATCCAGTCTGCCTTTTCTTGGCTTTTACACGACGTGGTTTGGATGAGCGGTTCAAATGTGTGAGGCATCCATGCTCCGTGCAGTGGCTTGGCAGTGTTTCAAGGTCAGGACTATATCAGACTTTGAAGCCCTCTCCAAATGGAAGAGCAAGTTACATAACACTAGTAAGCCCTAGCCACGTGGTTGTGCAGAACCATAGCTGTGCAACCAGCGGTAGCTTCCCCATGTGGCCTGGGGAGACCAGATGGAGCCAACCCCATGTGTCTTGTAACAAACCCCACGCCAGCGTACCCGGGCCTTGCTCCGCTCACCTGTCAGGAGGCGTGCGTGGCGCTGTGGCCGGCCTGCCGCGTCACCATCTTCGGGTCCTTCTTCACGGGCCTCTCCTTGCCCAACGGGGACGTGGACGTGGCCGTGTGCCTCGCATGCGAGCGCCGAGCGCCGGCTTGAGTGGGGCGAGCGCCGGGGGTTCTCAGTTTGCCTAGGACAGTTCCCTTCTTGGAATTGGAGCTCGATCTCCGTCCACCGGTCAAGTTCGGACCATGCCTTCAACGTTGATTGTTTGTTGCTTTAGCCACAGGGCATCATTGTTGGTTTTGGAGGACACGGCGCCGTTTTTTGCCACCCAACCTAAACATCAAGGAGCCGTGTTTCTCCCCGCGTCCTGTGTTGCCCAAGTTTTACATGTGAAACACAGGGAACTTGTGACAAGCCTAGGTCCGAGATCCCCTGCAAGACCTCCACGGCCATGAAGATGCTGGCGGACCACCTGCTCTCCAAGGGCCACATCAGCTGGCTGGAGATCATTGAGACCGCCAAGGCGCGGAACTCGTCCGCGTCCATGGTTTTGCATCTCCTGGTCCAAGTTGACCATTTGATTTGAGTGGGGATCATTTTGCACTCAACATGTGGTGTTCACATCCATTTGTTGAAATCCCCAGGGCCAACTTGACAAATTGACTGGGGATATGATCTGGACAAGGGCCAATTTGACAGGGGATTCGAGATTGGGAGATAATGGGAGACTCATGCAAAGTGGAACGGCTCGTTGAAGGAGTCTGGAAATGGCAACATGTTGAAATTTAAATTAAACCAACCAAAAAACGACAGATCATTTGAAGGGTCACTATGACCGGGAGTGCAGGTCTTGTTCAGCTCAAAAGCGTTGGGCTGGGGTAGGCTGACAGCTGCGCAGACTCGTCTGCCTGAGCGTCAGGTGCCGGTGATCAAGGTGCGGTCGCAGGCCTGCGGCCTGCGGGCGGACATCGTCTTCAGCCAGCCTGACGGCATCGAGTCCTCCAAGTTCATCCGCTCCAAGGCGCGCGTGCGAGTTCGTATAAACCCCGGGTCAGATGTTCAGATGGAACCAAACTGGACTCGGTTTGGTTCGCACCGTTGGCTATTGTCCTCCAGTTGTCCAAAGGACACACTGGCTTGTGTGCGGTGGAGTTGTCTCTTGTTTTCATTGTGTGCTGAAAAGTTTGGCGAGTTTCTGAGTTCAATAAAGTCGATACGTAGCATGCCCAGAACTAGCACTTAATGCCTCGTGCTGCCTACTCCAGCCGTCTTGGACAAGATCCTTTAAGCTGTCAATTGCAAGGTTTGCCTCCTAGCCGTGCTGGCCACACACATCCTCAGGACATCTCAAAAAAGGGACTGGGCCTCTTACCACTCTTGCCATGTGACTTCCCCAGCGGATCAGGTGAAGCAGTATCCACAGATGAAGCCTTTGCTCTTGTTCCTGAAGTACTTCCTTCTCCAGCGCGGGCTCCATGAGACCTACACCGGCGGCATGGGCTCGTATCTGCTGTGCAACGTGGTGCTCCACTTCCTGCAGAGACATCCATCTCTGAAGCACGGGCGGCAGTACTCCGGCACCTCCCTGGGCCACCTCTTGTTCGACTTCCTGAAGCTTGGCGCGTAGCTAGCCGGTGTTTTTTGTTGCCGTTGTGCACATCTTCAAGCGTTGGTCTGGCTGCTACGATTGCCGTCGTTCTACGGCGTTGCGGTGGTTGTGGCGTTGGAGGTGGCGGTGGTTATGGGTTTGGTTGATGTTATTGGCGTCAACGTGTTCAATATGGCACAGCGATCCGAATGGCCGCTGAAGAGTAGCGCTCCCTTCAAATTTTGTTGAGAGCGGCGCCTCTTTTCCAACACGGGATGATTTACGTTCGCTTATCCTGAATCCGGCTTTGACATCAAGCCTTTCCACAATCAGCCAGACCTCCTTCATGCTGGACGGTTGGAATTAAGACTTTTGATTTGCTTCTTATACATTGGCGCATATTCCAGACTGCAGTTCCTTGACTTGTCTCAGCTGTTTCTCCTGGATCGATCTTCGGCCGAGGAGGTACTATGGGCAGGAGTTCAACTACTCGCAGGCGCGGTGACGCGATTCATTCTCTTGCTTCAACATGGCAAAAAAAACATTTTTTGTTTAGACACGTGGGTTTATCTCTGTTGAGGGACCCCCTGATGACATGGGTGGTTTCCCCTTTAGCTTCCCTTGACATAATCCAAACAAGGGTTGTCCTCCCTAACATACTCTTCAATCTCTCTTTTTGGGCTTCCAGTTAAAAGCAACGTGGGTGAAACGGCCTTTTTCGGGTCCGCTTCGTGTCTTTTACTTCGGACGGATGGCGTCTGGCGCAGGGCGTCTCGGTGCTGGAGGGGGGCGCCATTTTTGCCAAGGGCGAGCGCTTCCCGAACTCCGAGAAGAAGCGGGGCCCGCAAACAGGCACGGAAGGGGGAGGTTGGGGGGTTGGGGGAGTGGCTGGGAGCTGGAGGTTTGGGTGGTTGCGAGTTTGGTAGGCCACCGGAAATCCGCGAAATTCAAGGAGGCCAAGAAGCCACCAGCACAGCTTGTGAGGGATGAAGGAGAGCTTGATCTCATTGACCCCTCCTAAAGCATCCCCGCTCTTTGTTTAGCCATGCAGTTCCTTTAGACCGGCAGCGCGCAGGTGTGACTCTGTGCGTGGAGTCGCCGCTCACGCCCGCCATGGACTTGGGGGCTGCCTGCTTCAGGATGCCAGTGCTGCGGAACTTGTTCCACCACGGTGGCCTGGCTGCGTGGTAGGCCGACATAATGTCGTGTTCAAGACCATTTGAGCAAGGGTCAAAATACGCCATGAAGAGTTCTTTACTTTGGCCGCCATGACATGACCAAGATGTTTAAGAACATGTAGTAGGCGACAGGGGGGCCGTGAAAAGCAACACCCCTGTTTGGGGTTGGCGGCGTTTTGGATGATGAGTTGCACATACACAAGTACCCGTGTACTTACATGGACACTTCCATGTAGCAAGGAATGATGCAGCACTTTGGCATCAAATAGTTTTCCCGATGGCTCTCGCGAAGGTGTATTTCACTATTCATCGTCTCCTACATTAGCAAGCCTGCTCGATGAGCATGTGAGCCCCTGAGTTGGGAAGAATCCGGCCGCCGGAGCGACACCCAAAGCGACACCTTTCAGATCATGGAGCGACACCCATAATTGCTTCAAGTAGGCAGTTGCTCACTTAGAGAGGAAGCCAGCGCATGGTCTGAAAGCCAAGACCTCTAGAAACCACGCTGGCACGCCGATATGCTGCTCAAAAGCGCTCGCTGGAAAGGCGGCGGACACTGTTGCCAGACTTAGAGCACGCTAGGAAGCATCAAAAGTAATTGCAGCGAGCCAGCGCTGCTGCTCGAGCCCGGCAAGCTCCCAGGTAGCTTAGACTCCTCATCGAGCTGCCTTGACACGCCTAGTGACTAAAAAGAGGCGCTTCACTTGCATGATCGTAAAGAGTCTCTACAAATTTGAGACTCACGAGCTGGAGCTGCGGAAGTGTATTTCCCCGTGCTTGACCTGTACCACAGAAGTGCGCTTTTTGAGCTGGAGCTGCGGAAGTGTGCTTCGCGCACTGGGCTTGTACTATAAAGTTGCCATGTTCGAGCTGGGGGTGCGAAAAGTGAGCTGCCACTGTAGTGACCCGTGCCAGCCATGGCAGCCAGCCATGTAATGTGTTTTGACCGTCGCACATTTGTAGCGTTTCCGTCCCCCCCCCCAACAGACTACAAGAATCGTCACTGCAATCGGTGCCGGCGTTCCTGGCTCAGTGTCCAACCTGAGGGAGGTGCAGCTGAGGTTTAGATAGGCACTGACTGCTTCCATCAAAATCCTCCGCACCTTGTCCCCTCTCGCCTCTGCTGTCAGCAGTGGGGCTGTTTCGTTGCTGGCTCATCGCCTGCTTATACCGAGGGTCTTCCTTTTCGGTGTATTTGTCTATTTGTATTGCTTTCGCTGTCTCTTTTCGCCTTTCTTTCCTTCCTTCCTTCCTTCCTTCCTTCCTTCCTTCCTTCCTTCCTTCCTTCCTTCCTCGTGACCTCACCATCGTGAGCCCACCAACCACCACCCTCCCCTTCTTCCCTCTCCCTTCCCTTCCCCCGAGGCTTCCATTGCCTGTGCCACCTCTTCGTGAGCCGCTCGCCCTCGGAGAGCTCCATGCTGTGCCCGCTGCTCATCGACCCCCAGCACCCGGTGATCACGGACCGCTTCAAGCTCATGGCCGTGCAGCCCAGCGCCTTCCCCGGGGCGAAGCCAGAAAACGAGCCGGAGCCGGAGGCGCGCGCCTTGGGGGTGGGGTGGTTGGAGTGGAGGTGGTCAGAAGAGAAGGGGGGGGTGGAAGGGGCAGAAGGAAGGGGCTGGGTTCTGGCTTGTGGCTGGAGTGGAGGTATGTTTAACGTTTGGAATCGGTTGAGTGCTTGCCGGTGGATCTAAAGGTTTGGCCAAAGAAAGCAAATTGGCAATTGTCCACATGTTCACACCCCTTGGTTGAGGCATGAGGTTGGGCAGTCTTTGGGCAAGTGACTGCAGAAAGCTGAATCTCTGGATTTGGATTTTGCCCGGCATGGAATGCAAGCGCATGAGTTTTCACCTGCAGTGTTTGATTGGTCATGGGGATAAACATGTTGCTTTTCTTGAAGCAATCAGAAGCACGCCCAGGGATGCTTGGTGCCCATTGTGTCACCAGCACGACCACCCACAAACTCCTCTCTCTTTTCCCAAGGTTTTGGCCCAGTTTCCCTGTGAAACCACTCCAAGGCAAATCCAGGAAAGAGGGTTTTCATCTATTTTGGGTACACTCAAAAAGGCCTGCCCTTTTTTTGCACAGACTGAAAGCAACCCCGCCAAGAATAATTTAAAGTTGTCCAAGCCTTTAAAATGCCGGGCATTTTGATCAATTTCCTCATTTTTGAGCCCATGGCTCTGAAGGGAGCCCTCTGAACCCGTCGCAGGCAGAGGCGCAGCCCGAGAAGAAGCGCAGAAGGGAGGCATAAAAAGGCGAAAGGCGCTCTGCGATGGCTGCCCTTGACTTCCGCCCGCCACTTTTTTGGGGTTTTCTGGGATGCAGATGAACTTGCAGGGGAGTGAAGTTGGGAAGGGCGTGGGTGTGGGTCAAAATTAAACCACCAACAGACCGCCTGTTTTTGTCATGGGTTCCATTTGCCAGGGTTCCATTTTGGGTACCCATGTTTGACCCTCCTTGGCCGCGTGGACCGAAGAGCTCAGACTCTCTTCGCTTGGCAGTTTGGATGAATCGATCCAGGGCTCCTGGGAGGACATGATATGCCCGTGGCTGACCCAAGCGAACGTTCAGACCTTGGTTGCTGTGCGGTTCGAACTTGGATGTTCTAATATTTTGGACACTTGTCCTTTCGCACTAAGTAATTCGGCAGTACAAACTTCTTGCAATGGGTCAAAGACCAACAGAAGTCACCTTTTTCGTTCGCCAGTTACTTGCGTTCGGTAAACCACATGTTGCCCCACTACTGGCAAAAAGGTTTACCTTTGAATGTTTTGAAGACAAGTGTGTGATCCTGGCCTGATTACGTACCCGTTTCCAGCCGGAAAGTCCTCTTTCTCAGGATTCGCCGTACTTCCTTTTGGGTGCTAGCACCATCGGAACAGCCACCGCCTTTTGGCTAGGTCCGCTTTGCCTGTGAGGGCCAAAGCACACCGTTGGTTCGCCAGGAGAACTGGATCCCCTCCTTGGTGGGTGCGAACAATCGCACGGTTCAGGCGCGCGATTGCTGGGGCCCATGGAAGCGCTTGCCGTGGGACAGTATGGTCCTTTTGCACAAACAAGGAGCTCACCGGGGGGTAAACGATCTCAACCCATGAAGGTGGCCCATTTGGGCATGCCTGAGCTCGGTTATTCATGACAGCCACCAATCCCAATCACAGAGCTCGCAAGCAAATGTTAGCCAAGATGCTTAGAATTGGCTCGAAGTCAAAGTGGGTGGCTCAGCTCCCGGGTGGCAATTCAAGTTGCAAGCTTTCGGGTGTTGGTCTGCTTGTGTTGGCTCCATCCACTCCAAACAACCAGGTCGCAGGACTTCGTGAATTGATAGCCACCCCATTAATGGGCGTTTGATGCTTCAGGCGGCCTATTGCCTAATCATTTTTGTTGGCTTGCTCATTCGCGGCCAGGACTACGCCAAGGGCAACTTGGAGAACGTCTTGGCGCCTTCAAGGCCTGGGGTTGCCGGTTGGCTGGTCCGCTGGGCCGGGTGCCGCGGGACTTGATGACAGTGAAACCCGAGTGAAGCCGCCGTGTTTTGGGTCTCCCACGGTGTTCCTGTTGCACCTCTTTCTTTTGCACCTGACATGGAAGATGCTGCTGGGATGGACTTTTCAGTAGGTCTCCAAGCTTTTGCTTCACACAAGCGGATGCACAGATCTGTTTGGGCCTTTCTATACGCTTTCTCGAGCTTGGGAGCGGACAAGTTATCACCATTAACACATACCCACCTTATTTTCGCCAGGACCTCCTGGTCTTGTATGATGAGATACGTGGTGGCCTCAGAACCGTGCCAGGGGACACCGGCGAATGCACTCGTCAATGCAGTCGCCGAGTCGGGGCCAAATCTTTGAAACAACGAATGCATCTTTGGTTGAGAGAAGCTTTTGAATGCCTTGAGGGCTGAGCACTTCTCGCCACTGGTCAACAACCTCTCCTGCTTTTTCTGCAAACAAGCACCAAACTCCTCGCAAGCAGGTGGATCAGTTTCTCTAGTTTTTTGCCAGACTCCGCGTGCTGTGGGCTGGTTGTTGTGGGACGGTTCAAAGTCACGTTTCGGAGCCAAAGGAGTGCGCGCGGGCCACCTTCCAACAACATGAGCCTTGACTTGCAGACTTGACACGCAGCATCCAACCAATGGAACCAATGGTGAGAAGGTGCCAACGACTTATCACCAGACCTCTACCTCTTTCACATGAGATATGTGAAGCCCCCCGCTTGAGGGATGATACTTCCTCTTAGGTCTAGATCATTGCAACAACCAGCGCCATTTGGAACCACCTTCCGCCTTTCCGTTTCCCTTCAAAAGGGGACCTTTCGGGTCTGGCGAACCACGTTTCGACCTCCGGCCGCGCCTGCTGCCTGGCGTCCGGGGCGCTCCACGCCTAGGCGCAAGACTCGGTGGTGGAGCGTTTGGAGCACCGGCTGTTGGCCATGGCGCCCCAGCTGCCCATGGCCAAGTGGGGGACCCCGAGACGTCGGCCTTGGGGCTGATGGGCTGGGTTGACCTCAGGTTGCGGATGACCTCCTTTGTGGTCATCTTTGGTTCGACCCTGGGACCAGACGACCTTCAGTTGCTGAACAAGTTGCGATGCTTGACCCTTTGGGCAGCAGGAATTGTTTGGCAGAGGTGAAATTCAATGTGCTTTGGATAGCGGTTTTCGGGGATGCAGGACAAAGCAGCTCAAGATTGTTTGGACGGTGATTTACGTGCTTTGCAAGTCTCTGGTTCGATTTGGAAAGTTTCTGGAATGACTTGCTCGCGCACAACTTGCAGGCCCTAAAGAGGCGCCCTCAAACAAGTTGATTCTAAAAGTGTGGGTGCTCCAACCGTTGATTTCCACGGGGACGTTTCACCTAGCCTGGAGTGTTGCAGTTGTGACCTGTTTGTCGCGGCTAGCCTATTCCTCGCTGTGAGAGTGTGAGAGTTCGAGGCTGCATGAGGTGCTGAACGAGTGTATTGCACCTGTGGATGGGGGTGTCGTCCGAAACTGTGGTGGCGAACAATACGACTGCTTTTTGCTTGACCCTGGTTGGATCTCGGTCCACCTGCTTGGCTCAACAGGGGCTTTGGGATTTTGAGCGCCCATGTGTTTTCGCCCGTCGCTTTTTTTTAATGCGGTTCTCGTGACGGAACATGCTTCCGGCCTCAGGCGCCTCAAGCATCAAATCACCCCTTAGTCTGGCCCCCCATTTAGAAAAATGGAAGCCCCCCCCCTTTACATGCGGTCTTCCTCAACCCGAGGGTCCGAAGGAGGCGTTTGTTTCTTCTTGAGAATGGACATGACGGGCAGTGCCGTTGTCGGACATCAAGGCTATCCCGCTGTCATTTGCAGGGCTTGCACCAATGTCTTTTGGATGGTGCTTGAGAGGGAAACATAAGGAGACCCGGACTGCCCTACCTTTGGTAACACCCAGTTGGAGGGCTTTGCCTATCAATGCAAGGAGGGGCGGTCTGAAGATGATCTCGTCAGGTTCCAAGTTAGAGGTAGTCGACCACTGATCGACCGGGCTTGCCCAGTCTGGAGCGGATGAATGCGGTGCGATACGCCGGGGCCCCGTTTGATTGTTCTCTGTCCCTACCGAAAGAAGCCATGAGGATCTCTTGACCAACTGACAGGGATCGACACAGTCAAACGAGTCGTTGGTTTGGCATTGAAAAGGTCAACCCTGGAATAGAATTGAATGCAGGTTGCAGGCAATCACTTCGGGGGTTGCCATTTGGAGATGGTCAGAATGCCCATCCCTTTCACAGCACACTTGATAGATTCGAGGGCTTCTTTTTTGCATGCTCCGGAGCAGGGGTGCCTTAGGTTTGGTCAACCGGTGGTTTCCAAGTCCACGTTTGATTGCAGCTACGTCCGACGTTCGGTTTCAAAGGGCCCCCCCGGCAGGGCGAAATTGATCAGTCCTGCATGTGTTGTTTGGACCATTTCCACGTTTGTACTTCACTCAAATGCCGGCATCAATCCTCACCGCTTCATCTTTTTTGCCTGCCCCCCAAGCAAAAACGGGAAGGAGCAAGGTCACGCCGCCACTAACGGCACGGAGGAATTCACAATCCTGGCAAATGCCCAATCGGGATTTCTGGGCGTGAAACAATGGTGGCGTTGGTTCCCGAAGCAATCATGCACAGTCATTGGAAATTGCACAAGTACCACAGCTTCGCCTTTCTTCTTAGCATGGCACAAGGTGGCAGCAACTTCTTCACGTATTGCCAGCCTTTGGAAGATTCTGAGACAAGGGCAAACTCTTGGCAAACTGCCACGAGAATGGCTCACAGAATTCAACGAATTGTGTGGCCAAGGTGACACATGCTAGGGCAAATATAAGTGCACTCTGCCTGCGTGACACTAAGGCCACTCCAAAAAACAGCAAGCGTCCGAGTAACTTGCGCCACGCAAGTTATTACCCCACAACCCCACAACCCCACTCCACCCCACCCCACCCCACCCCACCCCACCCCCACCCCCACCCCCACCCCCACCCCCACCCCCACCCCCACCCCCACCACCCGTATGTTGCTTTGCTTTTTGTTGATGTGCACTTTGATCCTTCAGGCAAGGCGATCGAGGACGGGGCCTTCAGGGCGCCCACCAACGCGGCGCGCAGCTTCAACCCGCACGGCGACGTGCAGCGGCTGGCCGTGGACTCCACCGCCGAACCGACCTGCTGAAGCTCGCCCTGCGGCGTTTCAGGTGAGCGGCAACGCGGCGGGCCGGCTGACGAGACTGAGGGGCTTTTTTAAATTAATTTTAGGGTGTGATAAATCCAACAAACCCTTTTTTAGATTTCGATTTTCCACCCCACACCCCCACCCCCACCCCCACCCCGCCCCGCCCCACCCCGCCCCCGCCCCACCCCAGCCCACCCCACCCCACCACCCCAGCCCACCCCAACCAGCCCGCCATCGCGGAGTTGATCGGGCCGGAACAGCGGAAAATGTGCAAAATGCTCGGCGCCGTTAGTGGCGGCGTGAGGAACCCCCTACCTATATTCTATATTTGTGACGTGGAAAATGGGCCTCGGCAGTTCGGAGGCAGATGAGACGCGCATCAACCTGTTCCTTGCGAGGCCCCTGGGGAGTATTTCAACGAGCACCACGACGGCAAGTTCCGGCCTCTGACGGCGTGGACGCCCAGGGGGTTGGTGGTGGAGCACGGCCAGCCGAATGAACGTGGGGTAGGCAGTTTTCCGAGAAAAACGCATGTTTCAATAGTGTTCTTTTGTTCGTCATGCTTGCAATAAATGCTGGCCAAACATGCTCAAAGCAATGTGCCCAGATTTTCGTCTACCTCAATGACCTTGAGGAGGACGATGGCGCGCCCTGCAGAGGGGGGGTTGTGGGGTGGGGTGGGGGTGGGGGTGGGGATTCGATTCTCCCCAATAGCTGGAAGCTTTGAAGTCTCAGCCCAGATGGGCTCCGGGGTGGTCCGGGGCAGCCCTGAGGGTTTTACCAGGGTTCCACCAGGGTTTCACAAGGCTTCCACGAGGTTCTGCGAGGGCTACGGGGTGGTGCGAGCACTAAAAAGAGCACCGCATGCTGTTAGGGATATCACCTGAGCTTATTTTTGCTTTCTCCAAGGGAAACAAGAGGAACATGTGAGGGGGTTGGGCGGGCTTACCTTCTGCCACCCTTGATGCCTTGCAGCCACCGGCAACCAGCTTGGGGGTTGGATGCTCGTGAAACTGTGGCCCGCTTTATGGAGGACTTGACGGCTGCTGTCGGTGAGCAAATGAAGGTATGCGATGCACTGAGCAAATAGTGATGGGTAAAAACCGGAAGCTTCTCGCTGGGTTCCGTTTGCGAACCGTGCCCAGGGTGTAACTTGTTTTGAAGCACCACTGTATCAGTTGTGGGCTTTCGCTCTGTGCCAAACAATGGCTTTAGCTGATGCAGGACCGCAGTCACCAACTGATGCAGGCGTTGAGGAAGGTTCCGGTTGGCGCTTAGGTGGACATATGAGTAGGTTACAACAATGGCTGTAAACCAACCAACTCTTGTTCTCCCCAATTCTGATCATGGTTGGCAGGTTGAGCATTCCAGTAGACCCCATCGCTGCGCGCCAGATGCCGGGGACACGTACTTCCCCTACCTGGGCCTTAGCTTCCGTCCCAGGCGGGGTGAGCGGGACTTTTGGGGCAGCCCGCCTGGGATCTACCCCATTGCTTGCCCTTGGGATTGTTCCACGCAAAGGGTGCGCATTTATCACTCAAATGTTTGGGTTTTCCAAGCAAAGAGTATCTTCTTCTCCCCCGAGGACGTTGTTCAAAAATAACCAGCAGCCGCTTCTCCAACCAAAGAACCGGCTTCTCACCCCTCGCCAGGCGGGGCACAGCGCTGGTATGGCGCGGCGCTGAAGCTGCGATTTGGAGTCTGGATGTTCAACGGGGGTTGATTGTGGGCATTGCCTACATCACGAAAGTAGGGAACAAGGTTAAGGTATTTGTACGATGAGTTCTGTTTGTCTGACAATGGTGAATCCATTTCCAGGTGTGGCAAATCGCCACTAGGAGGTCGTCACAACCCCGAACAAGTCAGACACGTCTCATATGTACGTCTTTGACTTAGGGGCCCCCATATTGGCTTCCTTTCGCTTATTTGCCCGAACCAATCTCCCCGGAATGGCCCGCAGCCCAGGCCGAACTCGGTGAACGGCGCCGAGGATGGGCGAGTGCTCCATGCAGGCGACAGAAGGGTTGCACACATAAGGCTACAGGTGGTTTAAATGTTTTTTGTTTGTGCTTTGGTGGTCGGTTGTTCGTGCTTTGATTGCTCTGTTTTGCCTTGATCGTGTCGTGTTGTGTTGGTCCACGACCTGCGCGATGTGCCAACGGAACATCCTTCCACACTGCAGCGCAGTCACCGCGCGTGCCAGTGCCTCTCAGATGATTGTGGACTGTCTACCATATGCAAAAAGCATGAACGCTGTCCGAGAGTTTCGAACGACGACTAATTTGGCTATGTGTCAGAGCTAGCGATTTATCCAGATGGTGAATCTTTCAAACACACCGAGGGTCTGTACTTTTGACATTCCCATGTGAGGACTGCAACCACCACAGCGAGGGGGGGATTTGCTCATGCCACTGCGGGCAGATGCCCATTTTGGGGAAAGGAATTTTGTGTGTAGATGTGTGGAAGGAACATGGATTGGACATCCGCTTTCTCCCGTCCAAAGATTCACTGTGAGGGGTGTCCAACAATGGATTCCGCGTAGGATTCTGTACAGGTCCCTGATTTGGTGTTTGGAGCCCCTAGAAGTGTACGCAGAAACGACGCCCTCTTGGGCATTTTCCACCAGGGAGAAATGTGTGTCTCTAAACTGGAGCCCCTCTTTTTGCGTGTTCCTGGGGAAAAGAGGTGCAAGTCATTTTGGCATGGTCCCTCCTTGTTCATTCTGCGAGCTGCAGGGCGCGCTCCCAAGCTCGGCGTGAAGTATGGCAGCGGCCCCAGCTTGATCCAGGGGGTGCAATGTTTTCTTGGAGCATGTCGGCTTGGCAATTTTTGAGGGGTGTCCCCTTTTTTAAAAGGAAGATCAAAGAGAAACTGTCTGATTGGTGGCCAAAACTTGAAGATGTTCAGTTGCGCAGTGGGTTGAGCAGCTCAGCTTGATCCAAAAATATAGCCTTGGTGTCGTCCTACTATGGGGCCAAGGCCTGCCTGCCCTCAGGGGACCTCGAGTGGTTGTATGCCAATCGGGATGGGGCTCTGGAAGGGCTAGGATGGCTAGGCCGGCTATGCGAGGCAGTGCGTCCTGCTGAGACGGAAGTGTTGCAGCTTTTGTAGAGTGCTTCACCAGGGAGCGAGCGCCTGCGGACGCCTGCGGACGCCTGCAGACGCCTGCACGCAGCTGTTGCAGTGCCACCTTTGCCCATGTGAAGACAGGAGTGGCCGCTTCCGCCTCACAGATCGGTCCATCACCGCGACGACGGTGAAGTACTTCAAGCGGTAGCCTGGCGTGGCTTCAGGGCCTGCCTTGCTGAAGGCCCCTGCGGGCGATCCTTCACCTGGTGGTCTCGGCGTGGCCGGTTCGCGTTGACCCTTCGGTGTTGCCGTGTGGTTTGTTGTATTTGCGGTCCTCTTGCATCTGTTTCGCTCGCTCCCTTCTTTTCGCCGACTTCATCTCAAAGCGGATGGGTTCGTTTTCCTCCGCGGTGTGCTGCTGTATATTTTTCCCCAACAGCTGAAAGCTTTCGGGTCTCAGCCCAGATAGGCTCTGGGGTGGTCCGGGGCGGCCCTGCGGTAAGGTTCCAGAGGGTTCCACAAGGTTCTGCGAGGGCTGCGGGGTGGTGCGAGCACTAAAAAGAGCACCGCAAGCTGTTGGGGATATCACCTGAGCTTACTAATTTCCATATTTTGGGCACTCATATGAGGCTTGGGCTTCGCATGTGGTTGGCCGCCCAGGTGTCAACTGCTTCTTCAACGTCAACCCGCTGCTCGGCCGCAGACAGGGGCAACACGGGAAGGCAGCCGTGCACAAGAGGGGTGGTAGTCCTCCAAGATGGTTCTGGACTAAAAGCAACGCAGGGCTTCCTGGAAAACCCGGAGGTGTCCGTTTTGGGGCTGACAGCCATTAGAGGCATTTGTTGCTGGCTTTGTCTCCCACAGAAAAAGCAACCGTGGCCAGATTCTTGATGCTCCTCATGTTGAGTTTGGACGAGCCCGAGCTGTTGCACTTTTCTACCTGCCCCCGTATGAAGCCATGTGCTTCTGTTAGTAAACTGCTACCCACCGCTTGACCAGCTGTGGGGCCATTTTATGTGTTCATTTGTTGGGGAGGCTGAACGTGCCGTAGCCAGTCAATGACGACACCTTTTTCTGGCTAGGTGGTTCACTCAGCCATTTGAGCATTTTGCAGGCAGCTCTGTGTCACTGTTTCCGACTGTGTTTGTTGGGGTTTTATTCATTTATGTAAATTGTATGCTGTTCAATCCTTACTCAAACTGGCAATGCATCCTATGAAGTTTTGCTCATTTGAACTACGCCATCCAACTGCTACTTGCCGTCATCGCTCGGGCCGGCCTGGGCAAATCAGCGCATGGCTGCAATTCTTGAACTCTTGTAGCAAGTCGACTCGGCCATGAGGCGTGACATGCGAGCCCATGGCGTGGTTGATTGCAATGAACTTCCTCCAGTGTCATTCGTGCTTGGGCAACACAATTGGAAAGCCGGCTTGAAGAGTGCACCCCGCTTGATCCGACCATCGTTGTTTTGGGTGTTGCCTTGCTTAGCAAGGTTGCCACGGGGAAGTTGGCTTTCCCGAGAATGCTCCCAAGAAGATGTTTAGAGTGTTTCCTGTTGACAACCTCTGATCCCGCGGCATCTTGGCTGAGGATGCGGCACATGCGGCCAGATCTGCAGGAGTGCCGGAAGCGCTTCCAGCGCATTCAACAAGCAACTGGCACTTGGGATCTATTTTGCAAAGCTTTCTTTAGGGGATTGGGTTTTTAGGGTTTGGCCAAATAGTGGCTAAGTGTCGCACGGGGAAGGCTTCTGAAAGCGCACAAAAAAGGGATGCATGGCCACATCCAGCATGCCAGTCCATGGTCAACAAATGGACGTGTGACTTACACTCTAACTTGCATCCACTGCAAGTCTCCCTCTGGCAAACATCACAACAGCTTCAATTGCAGTGATGTGGGCAGCAATTTCCATGGGTCGTTCTCGCATTCTCAGGGGGCTCATGTGGCTGCAGGGGCTGCATTGTTTGGCCCGGTGTGCCCTGACGTGTCACTCGTCCATGAATAGGAGTACAGCCTGGAAGGCTCCACCAAGGTGGATGTCCGAAGCCTGGGTAGCCCGGAGCCTTGGAGCGTGGAAGTCAGGCGGTTGGCTTTGCCTTTTGTTGGCGGGTTTCTGCGACTAAACGCCGTGGAGTTGCTTTCGCTTCCTTTGGGTTGAGTTCCGCTCCCAGTGCCCTGGGAGTATGTTTCGGCTTTGATTTGGCGTTTGTCTTTGCCTCTCGAACATCTGCTTTCGTTCTTTTGGATTGGCTCCGCTCAGGCTAAAGTGCACCATTGTCAAAGCACTTTGGGGAGTGTTGAGAGCCGTGCGAGAAGACTGTGGACTTCGCGAGGAGCACCAGGCCTGGCAACTAGATTTAGACATCCCGATGTCCTGGGCTTCTTCTTCTGAAAGTTTGTTCTCAAAACTGTGCACAGGGCACACGCTGGCGCATTCCCGGATTCACAGATGAATGGTGGGTTCACAAGTGCCGGTTTTGACGCAATCCGAATTCTTCCGTGTGCTTTTGGGGAAATCAAGCTTTTTGGAAAGCCATACGAAGTGATGTCCCTCTTAAATCCAAGCTTTACTCACATTCATAGCCACAACTTGTGGATGGCTGGCTAGTGCTTGTTTTCTTCAAGACCACCTTGTATGGACATTTTAACAACCGGAGATCAATTCCATGGAATGAGCCGGTGATGGCCAGGCTTCCCAACAAAAATTGCTGGTGTTTGAAGCATGTTTGTAAATTCCATGCCTTCCAAGGTCGAAACGCCTCAGTTGACCTTCGGCTACATGCAAGCCAACAACCTTCCCATGCACCTTGAAGGGTCGGCCCAAACAAGCCTGTTTCGGGTGAGGCTCAGAGAATGATGGCAAGCTGGTGGCGTACCAGCTCTGACGAGTCCTCAGAATGGGTGCGTGTCATTGAGGTTCTCCTTGTTGGTTGGGCTGGTTTCAAGCGGAAGCCTAAAGGAAACTAAGGAAGCCACTCATTTTTTGCGCCCCATCTGGACACATACCCAAATCTGATCAGTCCCTAGGATGGCGAAGGGCCAATAGGGTTCCATTCGTGGGCAGACATCCGGCGGTTTCGCTTTGGGACTGGGTTTTCATTTGGATGGCGCAAAACGCGTCAGCAATTTCCGAGTTCAGTTCAAGTGAAGGATGCCCATTCGCCATGGCCAGATCATGACTGCAGACATGTTTGTGTTGAATCATTTGCCCCCACAATTTGATACAGTAAATGCGCCCCTTATTCATAGATATTATTCCTTCTAGACCCCTTGTCTCCTGATGCTAACGAACAATTGAGGCAATACTCCGCCAATGCTAAGCCAACGGATTCTCGACCGAACCCAGCTGGCCCTTGTATATGGGGCGCCCCAGCACAGCCTTCCCAGCAAACCTTACCTCATCCTTCCTGGCTGCTGTGATGACTGCTTAGTGTCTTGGCTGGTCTGGCTGGCCAATGCATTCGTTATTTTGAAGGTTTCTGCGCTTGGGGGGGGCATTTGGATAAGAACTGATCCCCTACTGGGTGTTGGGGTTTGTGTTCCTTTCCTTTTAGTTTGGGGCTTTGGTCGGCATGGGGATTTTGTTCTGCTCCGCTTGGTCCACATGTCCGGGGGCCACGTCTGCCGGCCGAGGCATGGCGCCCAAGCTGGTGGCCGCCGCTCGGAGAAAGGGCGGAGGTCGTGCTGGGTATGCAGCTCGTCGTTTTTGCCAGCGCTCGCTTTTTTGGTTCTGTTTGCTTTGTGGATTCGTTGTTGTCAGAGTGTCGAGGCTGTAAAGAACAAACAGTTCACGCCCATCTCCGGCCCCTGTTTTGGAACTTGATGACTTTTGGCGCAGCCCTAGGAGAGGGCGCGGAAAAGGGGGCCATTGTTTGCTCACGTCGAGCCAAGCTCAAAGACATGGCATGTAGATGGCCCGTAGAAAGATAAATCTGCAAATGGGGTTGATGCCGGGCCTACGGACTACATTTTGAGGAACGGCAACAACCTGAGCAGAACTTTGGCTCGGCTGGCTGGTTTCTTGTCTTGACAGTCCTTGGCATCCTACTTGTGTCAGTCAATGCTCAAGTGCAAGATGCCATGGGCGGATTCGCTGGCCATCTCTGTAGCGGATTGTTACCAAGTTCCTTTACAGAGACTCCAAAACAGAATGGCGCCAACAAACATCCCTCCCCCTCAGTCGCGCGTGGGCCTCCAGCATGTAGCTCAAACTCCCACTTGTTTCCAGAACGCTACCTCACTTCAACTCCTTTTCCGACCGCCCGCCTGCCGTTGATTTCGAAGGTCGCGTCATTCGATTTTGCTTCCGAGGTGAAGAGTTTCCTCAGCGACGAGGAGGTGAACCACTTCCTGGGCCTCGCGTCCCACGCGCGGGAGGCTGGACAAGTTACTTACAGCTGTTGGCTTCACCGCTTTGACCCTAAGGTTCTCTCACCTTTGAGGCTTTGGACTTGAGAGCCGTACCTTCCTTGTGCCCCCTCCACTCGAACTGAGGCTCTTAGAGCCACCTGCCATTGCAGGTCCCTGGGCTGAACGTGTTAAAACAAGTCAGGAGGTTGGCTCTTGGGGCTGGTAGCTCAGCACAGGCGCGAATAGGTAAAGACTCTTATTATCATATTAGGGCTATCTTGGGCTGGTAGCAAAGCATCAAGGCTCGGGGAGGCACTCAACGGGAGTATCCTGAAGGAAACCACAGGCTGGATGATTTGTTCAGGCTCCCAGCCACCTTCGGAATGGTGGAATCTCTTTGCTGCACAAGGAGGCCAAAGTGAGACCAGTCGAGCCCTATTTGGCGTTTTTGGCTCTATTGGAGTCTGGGGGCCTCTTAGGACTTTTTTTTGACAACCAAGGGATGAGGACTGAATTGAAGGCCTCTTGCAGGGTTGTGCACAGTTTTAGCAACCAGCCCTTGCTCCACTTCACAACCAAGAGGAGCTTGGTCAAAAGTTATATAAAACCTTAAATATGTTTAAACACGGGGGGTTTTTGCCCCTGGTTTCTTGGGGCGAACATTCCTTCCTCGCTTAGCTCTCCCTCGACCGGCCCACCCTTCCGGGCGACCGGGCGGCAAGGCGCCGGTGTCTGGGGCCTTCTGCGGCGCCACGCAGACTTTGCGGATCCTCAGCCAGGAGGAGACGGAGACGGTGGCGGAGGTGGAGGCGCCGCTGCAGTTCGCTGGCTTTTGGAGCTTAGGGTTTGGGGTTGATGCAGACTTCAAAACAAGCTGTGAGTTCGGCTTGGAGAGATCCCACTTGCTTAGATTGCGGCACAGTGCAGTCACCGAACTTTGATCACCACGGCAGTGTCAAAAGGAGGACTCCTGAGGTTGTCTTTTTTGGGACGAGCATGAAATCAGTCTGCACCAAGGCAACTGGGAGTCCAGCTGATCTGCCCACCTGATGGGCCAGCAACCAGGCTGCCCCCCGCACTCCGAAGCAAATGTGCAAAGCCAAACAACCCAACTGAAGCCAAAATCAGCCCAAGAGGGTTCTGGAAGGTGGCGGGGGTTCCGGGGCCTGTTGTGGGGAGATACCACCTGGCCTTCTTTGTTTTGTGTTTTTCTTGTTTTTGTTTCTTTTTTGGGTTTAGGGTTTAGGAAGTTTTTTTTTGTTGGAGAGGGGGGAGGGGGCGAAATGGGAAGAGGAGGGGTTGCCCCCATGTGAAGCCTCGGTGAGGCGCGGCTGGCGGCCACCAGTGGGCTGCCGCTGGGCCATTTGGCTCCGCCGGGGGGGCCAAGACGCGGGATGGGGAAGGGTGGTCCGGAAATAGCGGAGCGATCTTCTGGCATTTCGGACTTGTGGGGGTGTTGTGGTTTGTGTTGTTTGTTTTGTGTTGTGATGTGCTGTGGTGTGTTTTGTTTTTGTTGTTTTCTTTGTTTGTTTGTTTGTTTGTTTGTTTGTTTGTTTGTTTGTTTGTTCATGTGCTTTGCTTGCTTGCTTGCTTCCTTCCTTCCTCCCTTCCTTCCTTGCGTGCTTGCTTGCTTGCTTGCTTGCTCGTTCGCTTGCTCGCTTGTGTGCTTGCGTGCGTGCATGCGTGTGTGCGTGCTTGCTGCTTGCTTGTTTGTGTGTGTGTGTGTGTCTTTTCCTGATCTGGTCTTTTGCTATGGTTCTTTGTTCCGACAAAATCTTCATACAGGTGTTCTAGCATTTGAGTCAGGCATCATGTGAATTGTCCAAAGGTCAATCATGTTGGCGCTGTTGATCCTTTATGGCAGGCATTTTTTTGTTGGGATCTTCTTTTGTAGTTTTGATTTGGGCCTATCGGTATCTGGGAGGTAAGTAGGTATCAAATTGAGGCCTCATTTAAGAACTTAAGCACAAGTCATTTGAGCTCGCGAGTGCGCTGGCGATAATTTGGGTGCCTGTCTGCGATAATATTGGGGGCCTATCGAATCGTCCTACCAGGCCACACTCCTTCCTTGCCCGCTGCGCCAGGCTGCGCATTGTTCGCACGGCCAGTGATCGAGGACTGTTGCAGTGACCCGCTAGGGTCAAAATACCCTTCACTTGGTAGGTTTTGCTCCATTTGACAGCGATAGTTGTCCAACCGAGGCTGGGCCCAAGACCCTTGAGGTTTACTGAGCTCAGACCTATAGGAGGTTCCACGACTGGGGAGGGTTTGCCCTAAGTTCAAAAGCAAAAGAGGGAGTCTGTGTGAAGGGATTCAAAACCTTGACAGACGTTGCAAACATGGAGGTGCAGCCTTCAGCGGAAGTCCAAAGAACATATGTTCCTGATGCGCCTGCAACGGTCTAAACGGACCAGGCGCCAAGTGCCAAGGGTCCTGACCAACAAGCAATTGTCTTTGCCTCACATGACGGGACTGCAGGTTTTAGTGCCTGGTTCCATTTGGCAGGGTTCCATTTGGGGTACATAATTTTGCCCCGCCACATGTGAGCGGATGGCGCTGTTCCTAATCCTCGCCAAATGGAGGACTGTCCAACCGCGGCTGTGGGCCGAAGTCGGCACGGGGCCCTGGCGTCTTGCTGACTGAGACCGGGCGACGGGTCGCGTGAAGCTACATCCAGATGTCAAACGGCAAGCCGCGTGCGAGCCTTCTTGGCAGTCTCCTCTTTGTGACACCATGTCTCCTATTCAACGGATTGGGTACATGTGGACAACTGTGCCATGGTCAAAGCTCCTGATGATTGTTTGGCATTGTCAGGGGTCCCTTCATGAAACACTCATTGCACAACGCCTGTTTGCATGCGCACGGGACTTCAGGTTGACGACCATGTTCACCCCACACAACCAGGCCATTTGCGCCATTTGACCCCAGCACGAGGGTTGACGATGCAGTGACATCCTTGGGGACCCCGTCAACCGACAGCTTGATGGGAGATCTGTAAGTGGCCAGGCCCGCTGCCCGACATCATGCATCCAAAATCAAGCTGCTCTATTTGTCTTATCTTCTTGCTGCTCTGCTTCTTCTTCTGCTTCTTGCGTGTTATTGTTGTCTCTTGGTAGGACATTGCGGATGTGCCCCGCAATCGGCAGCCTCAAGCAGTCCCGCCACACTGACATTGTCCGAGAACGACCGTTTGATCGCTTTCAGCCATCGTGAGCCGAGGTCTATGTTTGCCTCAGCGAGACGGACGAAGTCTTCTTTTACAGGCGGTTGGTCTTGGAGAGTGGATTGCCGGATAGCATCAGATGCCGAAAACTATGGCGATTCTCAGTCTTGCGTGTAGCCATGTTTCGTGGTTGTCAAGGGAGAGGTGTTTCAGCACCCACCGATGTTTCGAGACCACCTCCCCAAGCCCAAGGAGGCCCAATTTCTCTAACCGTGCATTTTGCCGTATCAGATCTCTTTCCCAGAAGTGCAGCGTGGCCCAGCTGATAGGCAGATGAAGCTGGATGAGGAAGCCCAAAAGGGCAGTTGTATAAGTGGTACACATATGCTGCAGATCCCGATACTTGGGGCAACCAGAGGCTGGCATTCAGTAGCGGGCCGGATCATCGGAGTTTGTGACATCAGGACACAGTCAAATGGGGGGCGCAGAGCGCAGGCTGGGCCTGCGCTTGAAGATGAGAAGGGGCGATGCCCTGCTGTGGCGCAGCACTCAGTGGCACTAGTGTCCAAAGGGGGGGCTCGAAAGCCTACCTTGGTGACTCGTCGTTCTTCTCAATTCTTTTGCGGGGCCTGTTTCTGACTGTTTTCAGGCAACCCCCACCTTTGTTTCGTTAAGGATGGGTTTTTCAGGACCCCTGCCCATTCCGCAGATGGCAAACCCACAGCCAGTTCCTGGCAGTAGCTGCCCTTCACTGCCTATGGCCAGCTCACCAAACAGGAGTAGAACGATCTCGTGCCCCTTGATGAAGCTCCGCTACTTCGGGCCTTCTTCAATCAGGTTGGTGAACTGTAGCAATTGGCGCAAGCCATTGGCAACTTCTCGGGTGGCGCAGCTTGAGCTGTTTTTGTGGCGCGCCTGTCATGCTTGCTCTCACGCTGGTAGAGCCAGAAATTTGATTTGTTCTCCAGCAGGAAGCGACTTGCAAACAAGGTGTCGCTTGAGCCAGAACATTTGCACTTCTTGTGTGCCCGCGTCAGGTCACATGCTTTGGCTGTTCAGGGGCCTGTGTATTTTCCCTTTTGATGGTTTTCAGCCATCGCCTTTCGGGCCAATGCAAAGTGAGCTTCCTCTGGTGTGATGTCTTAAGGTTGGACATTTTGTGAGCGGTTTTTCTCAAACCTTGGGAATCCCGGAGAAACCATTGCCTTCAGTTTGCCTTGTGAACAACCCCAAGAAGCAAACAGGGTATATTCCCTCAAAGAGTCAAACACCCACACATCCCTTCATCCCTCCCTTTATCCCTTCGTCCCCTGAACCACCGTTGCGCCCGAGATCTCCCCTGAGGCCCAATGTGGAGTGGAAAGGCGAGGATCCCATTGAGGCACGGACGGGTGGTTCGGGAACAGCCTCAAAAAATGGTTGGGGAACACGAGTTGCTATGTATACCATGTCCACCAAAAGTTCCAAACTGATTGTTGTTGCCACACCTGTGTGGTGCCAGAGGAAAGCAACCAACGGCCCACTGCTGATTTGCAAAGAAGGCAGCGCTATCCCTAGGTCCTCAAACAAAGTTGCTGTTCGCTGCTGTAAAGCGTGAGTCAGTACAGCTCCTGCCCCCTGCCCTAAACCTTCTCAGTGTAGCACTACGACTGGACTGGAAGGTCCTCGATGAATCCCTTTTTACGCAGGGTCGCACAAACCCTAAGTATGTTGCACTTGGAGAAGCTCGTTTGCGCAGTATTCCCAAACTCTGGTTTGTCAATTCGATAAAGAGCTGTGCAGCCATGGCTTTATAATGGACCAAATTGTAGTGATGTAGACCAAAACTCAGCGGGTTTTGGGCGCTCCTCATTTGTCGTTTGGGGCCGCACTCGCAGCCAGGACCTTCGGACTGTCCGGTTGCATTTGCCTGCTGGCCCCAGCGATGCCACTCGGCAAGGGAGAGTCAGGGAAGAGGAGGCGTCAAAGCTCCAACTGAACGAAGACCTCCTTGTTGGGACGGATGTGGGTGTTTGTTTTCTTGGAGGGAAATTATTTAGGTCATTTTGGGAGCCCCCATATTTTGACAGTCACATACCCAATTTGTTGTTCACTTGTTTCAGACCCTCTAGTGAACTTCTATGCTGGTTCCACATTTGTTCCCAATCACAAGTTGTCCGCAACATTCGGGTTAATGCTACATCATGGAACTGAAGCGGGGCCACGCTCAAGCCAAGAGAGAGATGCCCCATAACAAGTGCGCCGGTTGGCAAGCCAGGCTGCAAGCCAGCCCGTGAAGAAACAGCACCATTTTCCCAGTAGCAGGCCGAGTCTGGAAACGCAGAGACAACGGAATTCATTGGTTGATTTCATAGCGCGGATCTTCTGAACAGAACAGGGTCTGGAGACAACCCCCTTGATCATTTTTCACAAGGCAAGAGGTTTGCATTCGCATCGGACATTCACATCCCCGCTTCGCCGCTCCGACAAGTTGTGGTTTTCTCTTGCGCAAAGCACGCTTTGGGTAGGCGAGTGCAAGTTACGGCAAGCTCGCTGAAACGAGAGGCGCCCATGTCGAAGGCTCACTTGAGGATTTGGGCGAGTTGTGGGAGCTTGCGCAGCCCCAGAGGTTTCTTTTTCGGGCTCTTTTCAACCTTACCCTCTACTCTTTCCATCAATGTTGGAAGTGGATCCCAAGTGCTTGCCCCAATGCATCTTTCAACGCGCTCGTGTCAGCTTCAACCAACATGGCACCTGATGAAGGAAGGAGCTCCCTTTTTCCTCAAAGAACCGCCCGCCAGCTTCCAGGACTGTTGGGAGGGTGCGAGCCATCAAAAGGAGACACCCCCCACTTGGTCCCCAGGTTTGTCTCACAAGTAGGACCCCCTATACAATTGGTTTCTTTGTGGACGCCGCCTCGACTTCGGTTCAGCGGGATCTCGGGCTCCCAGGAGCAGCGCGCCTTGGGCCTCGACGCCTTCTTTCATGACACAGACATTCGAACCCAGCCTTCGCCTCGGAAGAGAACACGAAGTAACTTGTCACACTTGTCCAAAGGAAGCCTACATGTCATGGCAATGCATGTTTGAAAAGCTGATTTGTCCAGGCGCCCGATCTTACACCAAGGTTTGGGTGGCTTCTGGGTAGCTTTCGACCAAACGTTGACTGGGGTGACGCTTGAAGGAGAACGGAGAACCCTGACAAGAGGGGAGGTTTCAGGGACGTGTCGGGAAGAAAGCATTGCCCATGGGGCCCCGCCCTTGGCTACCATTCGCAGTGCAGTCAACACTGTTCTATTCATCTTCCGAATAATTAAATGCAAACTACCAAAAACATCCAACATGAGGCCCGACACTCAGATTCCGTGAACACGATCTGGCAATCTCTCCTGAAGGAGACCCCAAAAGAAAAAACATGGCCGGCTTTCTTGCAGTTTCCCCCCTTGCAATCCATCCCCAGAACAGCATCATAGTCAGACACAGATGCGCTGAACAAGTAGATTTGGGCCAAGTGATTGGGTGAAGTCCTGTGCCCACCAGTCTTGCCCTGAGAGAAGTCGGATGGTGGGAGGTCAGATGGGTATGGGTCATTTTTGAAACCACCAGCAGGTTTTAGTCCTTGGTTCCATTTACCAGGGTTTCATTTTGGGTACCTATTTTGGACCCACAGCCAGATCTGGCTTCCAGTCGAATTCGAGACCGCCCGCTGTGCAGGGAGAAAGGTTGAGACCAGACACCGAGTTTGCCCCCTTAGATTCAAATGGTTTCTGAATAGTTGGAGTCAGATTTTACCGGAACTCGTTCTGAATGAAATGGCTGTTAAATGAGTTGGTCTCTGAAGCGCCCTTCCTCGGCTTCTATGCTGATGGGTCGGATGAGGGCAACCTTTCACAGCTCGCCTTTCACACATGGGCAAGAAAACTCCTTTCAAAGTCCGCCCAGCTTCTAATGCGTAAGCTATTCATGGGCTGACTGGTTGATTTCTCAGAAAGTACACTTGGATTCTGAGGCATCAGACAGCAAAGAACATGAAGAGAAGCACATAGTGCAAGGCAATCACAACAACCACGTGGAGCGCGCCGAAAGTGAGGCAGAAGCTGAGAACATTCCAGCGAGAGTGGGGCGCCCCAAGCGAAAGGGGCGGGGGGTGGGGTGTGAATGAAAATTGCTTGCGCAATGCAAAAATGAAATCCTTTTTGAGGACCCCTTGAAGGTCCTTCAATGAAGGCCACAATTTTTGCCAGGCCCCCAAACTAGCCGCAAGGGGGTGGGGCAGCTCAGGAGAATCTCACTTTCTCAGATGCTGACTGGTTTGCCACTCAACGCATGGAAGTCCGGGGGCCTCATGGAGCACAAGTCACATTTGCTGGCTCGGCTGGCCGGACCCTGGCACGTGAAGGGTTTGCTGCCATCCACAGACAGCCATATGCCATATCCACTGCCATAGGGTTGCACAAGCGACCAGCAGAACCTGAACTGCCGAGTCCAGCTTGAAGACGTTAAGGAGTTGAGAAGGTTTTGGGAGCCAAGTTGTAAGTTGTGCCGAGCATCTAAATCGACCATGTCAGGTTCCATCAAGTGGAAGATCATGTTTCAATCGCACCTGGCTGGCCTTGAAGGATGAGTAAAACGAGCAGGCGACTACAACCCAACCAGCAAATGAGTAGATACTATGTTTCCGTGCAGCAGCCTGGGAACCATGAACATCCGCATATCCTTGGCAGCGTGGCCATTAGGCTTGCTGAGAACTGATTGTTTTTCGCACCAGCCTCCCAACGGGTGTGTGTGGACCCAGAGGTCTCAACTGGTTTCGACCCCAGACGCCTTGACTGCCGGAGGTCTCAGGCGGCCTAGCCCCGAGAATTTGGGTCGGCCGCGGCCCAGGTCGGGCCGGATGTAGTTGTAGGCCCTTTAGCCTTAGTTTCTTTCGGAAAGTATTGGCAACTTGTTTTGCTTTCCCAGAGGGAAGCCCCACTGGAGACGTTGGAACGCGAGCTGATGGAACTAGTCAAGGCATTTTACTTGCCACTAGACATGAAGCAGTTGGATGTATAGTTTTGAGGATAGACTTCACGCATTTCGCTGGTGACTGAAGGAAGCAAACGATGAAGTGTTTTGATCAAGATGGCCACATCCCAATCATGTAGAGATGTGTTGACTGTAATCTGGCAAGGGGAGATTCCTTGCCCCTGAGGCTTGTGTAATTCTTCGTTCGAGGTTTGCTCATTTGAAGGAACTCACTGATGCAATTTCATCATTTGCTTGCAGGGAATCCATGTTTGAGGTCTCTGGAAGCTTGTTTGGCTGCCTTGCTGCAGCCCCGACAGAAGCAAGGTGCCGAAACCCACCGAGACTTTTTGAGGAGTCCGGAGGAAGCCAAGCATCTGGTAAAGACCTTCATATGTTGCTGGAAGCGTTGTTTGGTGTTTCGAATTCAGAATAGTGGACGAAAACAGAATTGGGAAGTGTCGTGTCCAATGCATTAGGGTTGTAACTGAACATGAAAAACAACTTCGTCGCGACCCGTGTTTGTGCAATTAAAGATGATACTTGAATCAGCATGCTGACTGTGCTGTTGTGGGGCTCCAATCTGGCATTGAACGCGATTTGGATCTTTCCACTCGAACGTGCGTGGATTCAGAGTTGCAACGCTGTGATCTTGAAGTTCCAGTTGTTCCAGTTTGAAGTTCCAGTCTGTTCGGCCTTTCTTACCGTCATTTTGCTCAAGCCGAAGTAAGCACATGTTCACACCAGCAACTCGACGGCCCGACGGCAACCAACTATTCCTCCCAACTACTTCATTTGCAGCCGAGCACCTGTCATCTCAAACTAGAGCAACCCCAAGACAGACTTCTGCGGATCCCAAGGTTTGTGTTGAACATCACAGAAGCTTCCCACAAATCAGCGGGGTTCGCCTTCTAAAGTTCCTTTTTGTTTGGAGGTTGCCCCACCAAAGTTTGTCATTTTCTAGAAGGGTTCCCTTTTCTCACCGAGTCAATGGGGCAACTGGCTAGCGGCTTGCCCATCACCCAAGGCTCGACGTGCTCGGCCATTGGCCGGCGTTGGAAGAGCGAGACTTTCCTGGCACTTTGCGGCTGAGTCGGACGTCCCATGGCCATCCACATGGCTGACCCAGGGTCCTTCGACCTATGGCTGTTCTTAGGCTCAGACTTTTTATCCTGAATCTTTGGATATGCACATGGTGCTTTGCCGAGTCTTTCAATTGTGGGGAAAGCACTTCCCACATGAAGCGGGGCAGACTGCCCGAGCGCAAGGTGCCAGCCTTCCCATCTTCCGATTTCGCTGCAGATACCATGCTGAGCTGACCCGAACAAAGCAGGGCGGGCGAAGGGCCTCCCGATGCAGGCGAGTGAAAGGGCCTTTCTCAGGAACACCATTTTGGGGCAAGGCCATATTATTTGACCCCCCCCACCCTCGTTTTGATGTATGGCGCTTGGCTCAGCGCGGCTGGCGGTCGATCTCCCCTGAGTGGCATCTGACTCTAGGGGGCTGTAGGCCAACCAGCGGATCTGTCAGGGGATGCAGTCCGATCCACTCAAAAAGCTCACCCCTCAAAAGCGTTCGCTTTCTCTACCTTGAATACCCACCTTGTTGTTCCCAGTTCCTTCGACAGATCCATGGCTACTGCTGCATGTCGATCTGAGCGATGAGACTAAGTATCACTCCAAGAAGTGTTGGAAGTCGCCGCTCCCTGCTGCTCTGCCGTTGCACGAAGGCACAGATATTATAGAATGATAGCACATATATGACGGTCCTCAACCAAAGGTTGATAGAGTTTTATTGCGGCCCAGAATCCCTGCCCAATTTAAGTTGCGAAATTTATTTGCATGTCAGCCTTGAATCGTTGTGCTAGACTTGTTGAATCAGGTCGCCATGTGGCTGGGTGGGTGGGTGGGTCCCCCATTAGCTTAACATTCTTGAATCGCACGGATTATTTTTTTTCGCTCCCATTGACGGTTCGGATGAAAGAAGTGTGCCGTTTCGACCTTTGGAAGTCATACTGACATATTGCTTTTGCACTGCAGCAGGTCAAACATGATTGACATGTGAACTCCTTGTGGCACGATGCTCTGATTGATATCACAGCAGCCTGACATGCTTTTGATACTGGAGAGCAATATTATATATATATATAGTTTTATGTGTTTAAGAATGTGCAAGCTATCCTGCGCCTCTTATTCTGCGTTTTGCTTTCACATGTGACTGGCTCGATGGAACAACTTGCGGGCTCAATAGAGGACTTTTCGGGATTGAAAACGCGCCCCTTAATTTGAGAACCCCGTCTGTGCTTTGAGTTCGGATCACGGCAGCCAACGGTCTGGATCCCCCATCTCTTTGCTTGGCGCGCAAGGAGAGTGGCAGGCAGTGTTTGTGCATGCAAGCCAGGTGCCGGGGTAGAGCTGAAGTGTCTGGTCCTGCAGTGTGCCGCGCTGGCGGCATGCCTTTGCACGAAAAGCAATTCCACAACGGTGTGTCAAGGAGCAATTGGTGGGGCTCAAGGCAGGATGGCATGTGTACACAGAAGGTTGGGTCGTTCAACCATCCCGCGTGTGTTTTTGGTGAAAGCAAAGCCAGGGCTTCTTAAATTCGGGACTCTAGGTGGTTGGTTCCTGTTTGGTTTCCCTTCACCGAAAGGGGCATGGTGAGCTGGATGTGCCATGTTGCCGATGACCAGGACCTCAGAGCAGTCCACGGGCTTCCGGGCACCAATTCTTGGGTTGTCTCCAAATGGGAATCCGCGGTTGTATGGTTTTCGTGGGACACCACGAGGCGACTCTCCGCACTTCTTTGTTTCAGGCCTCGGTGTTTCGGCCACAGGGTGATGTGAGCAATGGTCAACGTGAGGCACCTATTTGCGTAAGAGCATGTTTAAATTCTCGCTGTTAATAAGATAGCATGGTCGTGCCTGGTAAATACGCCAGGTTTTCTGCTTGAGCACCTCGCAAAATTGGAAGTCTACTCTTGCTCACCATTTGTGGCTGATGCACCTGGGGTATTCTCCCTAATTGTGACAAAGTTAAACTCAGTGTTCAGTTCTCAAAGCCTTGTTGTTTTTTGATTGGACCAAAGACTTCGAGAGTCAAATTTGGGCCCCTGCCTCCCCGCCACATCTCTCCTTCGTCAGCCGTGGAGCTCACGATGGGCCTGGTGTCCAGGGCTCTGGAGTTCCGGGATGGGCGCAGCTGGAAACAGGTTGGTAAGAGGCCACTCGAGATATTTGCAGGCAATGTGCGTTGGCAGGTGGGTCACGGACTGGACCCATTGTTGGATGGTTTCGGCTTGAGATGAATCTGGCATCTTTTTGTTTGTTTGTCTCGTGACGCTCGCACGTACGGTATCGCGACCCGATTTGATCAACTGCCCGGCTACCTTAAGTACTGATGGGTGGCCATCCCGCTTTAATGCCCCATAGACTAGGATCTTCTATTCATAAGCATGCACCACGAATCTTGGCAATGCCAGACAAGGCTTCGACTGAACATGCAGCACACATTCCGCGCAATGTGGCCACCAGAGCCTGGAAGGCTGAACGCCGGAAGCAACCTGGTTGGAGTGGTTTGAAGATGCCAAAACGGCTGGCCCAGGCCCGGCTAAGAGAAGGCGGTGCAAGCTGATGGCACTGCGGATCTAGGAACTGCAACTTGGAGAAAGCACGCCATGCTTCATGTAGATGGCAACCTTGTGAGACAAATTTACTAGTGGACCCAGGCAGCTATTTTGGGAGCATCCCATGTTGTCACTGAGTCTCTGGTGCGGGAAACGGCGCCCAACACTGACTTTGATACTTGAGAGCTGGATCACAAGTTCTGGGCACCAGGGACGAGGACTGACTTTGAAGTGGTCCCACGGTGTTCCTAAGGGACTGTCACTGGTTGCATGAAGGTGGCGGATCTAGAGGGCTTTGGATCCATCAGAACAAGGCCTTCTGCCCAGGTCCATGCTTGTCGGAAAGAGGCTAGATGCCAGAAAAAGTACTTCTCCACTTTTGGTTTGCCAGAGAGTTTGCTTCAACTGCATCGTAGCCCCGGTACTTCCAGGCCACAAATTCCGTTTCTTGTCGCACGCATACGATCAGTGCGTTGGGTTCTCAAACTTTGGGGATGTGCCAAGCCAAATCTCGGGACTCCTTTGCGAAACCATGACGCCAACCAGTCGGAGGCATTCCACATATTGACACGTAACTTGGGCTTGTCTCTAGATGCGCACCCCCCAAACCCGTGGCGTTTTTTCCCCTTTGGTTTCGCTTCAAGGGCAGCCTCAAGAAAGAGATGGCACATACAACATGGAAGAAGGACAGACAGATCCCAGTGCCCATGTCACATAGCCGTTAGCACAGCGCGTGTGTGGGCCAAAGCCGCCCAGCAGCTCCGACCCCAACAGGGTGGCGCCCGAATCGGCCCAGAGGCCTTGAACAGTTCTTCAAGGTTGCTGAACTTCGTACTTTTGGAAGAGGGTTCAAGCAATAGGCAGCAAGTTTTGGCTTCTTTGGGGCCAATCTTGCTGGGCTTCATAGGTTTTGCTGACTGAGAGAAGCAAGGCTTGCGATAAGGGGAGTTTGCCACCCCACGAGGAAAGGAAACATGGGACACACGCACAGCAGTTGGCATTGAGAACAAGGCAGTTGAGCATCAGCAATCTTCTGAAAAACTAGGTGGAAACACACCTCAATTCTAAATATTCCTGGATTTTCTGGGGTGGTTCCCTTGAACACTATTTTTAGGGAATCCGCCTCACGACTGAATCGACTGGTGTTTTGTTATTTTGCCTGGCAGGCAACAACTCGGGCGGAGCCCTCGTTTATGACTCTTTCTGCAGGGGCAGCTAGTTATTCC